CGTTTGATCTTTCTCAGAATTTAGCAAGCTGAAAAGCAACAGCGTTAAATTCTAGTTATGTAGATTAACTACGCTACACTCACGACCCCTTCAGGGTCTCGGAGACGCCAGTGATAACCTGTCGTGACCTGGAAGCATTCCAAGACTAGTTTGGTGGGCACCGCTGCTTTTCTACCGGCTTCGGTACCAAGGAGGGTCCTTGAGGACCTCGGCATTCTGGATCTAACGGAGGCCTCCCCTGGGTACGTAGACTGACGGATGGCGTTTCATGTGAGTTATAAATCTCCTACTAAAGTTTAGAGTGAAACATTCACTCCCACTCATGACTAACTGCCTCTCCGGATCCGCTGGTTCTGAATAACATTCCACACACACACCATCATCATTCATCATGTCTCACTCCACCTTAGTTCCATCAGTACACAGAGTGTTTAAGCTAGTCTTGTTTAAATTGTGTAGAAATAAATTTCTTAACTATTTCAAACCTGACTCTCTCTCTTTCCTTTGAGTTCATACGAAGTGTGACTTACTGTAATCCCTGCAATAAAAAGTTCAGATCTTCTGGTTAAAATATTCAAAGACCCATCAGATTGATATTTCATATTTCTATGGAATCTCACATTTTGTGGTTCATAAGTAAGAAGTAAATGACCCATTCTTTACAAAGCTAAATCTACACCACATTTGATACAAATAGATGTAAATCTATATTTATCGCTACAATGATAAAATGGTTTAAAGGGCAAAATTGAAGAAAATGTCCATCCATCCATCCATTTTCAGGTCGCAGAGGCTGTAGCCTAAGGCTAGAGGCCCAGGCTTCCCTCTCCCTAGCCACTTGGGCCAGCTCCTCTGGGGGAACCCCAAGGCATTCCCTGGCCAGGTGAGAGACATAGTCCCTCCACCATGTCCTGGGTCTACCTTTAGGTCTCCTCCCGGTTGGACGTGCCCAGAAAACCTCACCAGGGAGGCGTCCAGGAGGCATCCTGACCAGATGCCCAAGCCACCTCAACTGGCTCCTCTCGATGTGGAGGAGCAGTGGGTCTACTCCGAGCCTCTCCTGAATGACCGAGCTTCTCACCCTATCTGCAAGGGAGAGCCCAGCCACTCTTCGGCGAAAACTCATTTCGGCCGCTTGTATCCGCGATCTTGTTCTTTCAGTCACTACCCAAAGCTCATGACCATAGGTGAGGGTAGGAACGTAGATCGGCCGGTAAATTGAGAGCTTCGCCTTCTGACTCAGCTCTCTCTTCACCATGACAGATCGGTACAACGCCTGCATCACTGCAGATGCAGCACCAATCCGCCTATCGATCTCACGTTCCAGTTTTCCCTCACTCGTGAACAAGACCCCGAGATACTTAAACACCTCCATTTGGGGCAGGACCTCATCCCTGACCCGGAGAAGGCATTTTACCCTTTTCCGAATCAAGACCGTGGTCTCAGATTTAGAGGAGCTGATTCTCATCCCAGCTGCTTCACACTCGGCTGCAACTGCTCCAGCGAAAGCTGAAGATCACTTTCTGATGAAGCCAACAAGACCACTTCATCTGCAAAAAGCAGAGACCTGATCCTCAGGCCACCAAAACGGATGCCCTCCACACCTTGGCTGCGCCTAGAAATCCTGTCCATAAAGGTTATGAACAGAATCGGTGACAAAGGGCAGCTTTGGCGGAGTCCAACTCTCACTGGGAACGAGCCCAACTTACTGCCGGCAATGTGGACCAAGCTCTGACACCGGTCATACAGGGACCTAACAGCCCGTATCAGAGGGTCTGGTATCCCAAACTCCCTGAGTACCCTCCACAGGGCCCCCCGAGGGACGCGGTCAAACGCCTTATCCAAATCCACAAAACACATGTAGACTGGTTGGGCAAATTCCCACGCACCCTCCAGGATCCCCCCAAGGGTATAGAGCCTGTCTAGTGTTCCACGGCCAGGACGAAAACCACATTGCTCCTCCTGAATCTGAGGTTCAACAATCCGACAGACCCTCCTATCCAGAACCCCTGAACAGAACTTACCAGGACGGCTCAGGAGTGTAATCCCCCTGTAGTTGGAACACACCCTGCAGTACCCCTTTTAAAATAAGGGGACCACCACCCCAGTCTGCCAGTCCAGTGGGACTGCCCCCGATGTCCACGCGATATTGCATAGCCGCGTCAGCCAGCACAGCCCCACAACATCCAGAGCCTTAAGGAACTCCCGGCGGATCTCATCCATCCCTGGAGCCTTGCCACAGCGGAGCTTTTTAACCACCTCAGTAACCTCAGCACCAGAGATTTGAGAGGCCCAACCCAAAGTCCCCAGACTCTGCTTCCTTACTGGAAGACGTGTTGGTGGGATTGAGGAGGTCTTCGAAGTATTCTGCCCACCTATCCACAACGTCCTGAGTCGAGGTCAGGAGTACACCATCCCCACTATAGATAGTGTTGGTAGCGCACTGCTTTCCCCCCTGAGGCACCAGATGGTGGACCAGAATCTCCTTGAAGCCGTATGGAAGTCTTGCTCCATGGTCTCACCGAACTCCTCCCATGCCTGGGTTTTTGCCTTGGCGACCACCCGAGCTGCGTTCCGCTTGGACTACCGGTACCTGTCAGCTGCCGCTGGAGTCCCACATGCCAAAAAGGCCTGATAGGACTCTTTCTTCAGCTTGACAGCATCCCTACCTGCCAGTGTCACCAGCGGGTTCGGGGGTTGCCAACACAACAGGCACCGACGATCCTGCGACCACAGCTCCAGTCGGCCGCCTCAACAATGGAGGCACGGAACAGGGCCCATTCAGACTCAATGTCCCACGCCTCCCCCGGAACATTTTGGAAGTTCTGTCGGAGGTGGGAGTTGAAGCTACTTCTGACAGGAGACTCTGCCAGACATTCCCAGCAGACCCTTGCGATACGTTTGGGCCTGCCTGGTCTGACCGGTGTCCTCCCCCACCATCTGAGCCAACTCACCACCAGGCAGTGGTCAGTTGACAGCTCCGCCCCTCTCTTCACCCGAGTGTCCAAGACATGCGGCCGCAGGTCAGATGAAACAACAACAAAGTCAATCATCGAGCTGCGGCCTAAGGTACCTTGGTGCCAAAAGCACATGTCTGAACATGATGTTCATTATGGACAATCCATGACTGGCACAGAAGTCCAATAACAAAACACTACTCAAATTCAGGTCAGGGGGCCGTTCCTCCCAACCACACCTCTCCAGGTCTCATGCGGGTTCAGAGGATGGATGGAATTACATTTGCCTTAATATCTCTTTGTTTTCTTTTGTCTCACGTGTCTTTTTGCCAGATCTAAGCTGCTGAAGGTTTATGCTTTATCTCGTTGATTTAATCCGCAGACAATAAACATAAATGTGTAGTTTTAGACGATCTGACTTTCCCTTTAAACATGGACCAGAAGGGGTGGCAAAATTCTAAACAATGAACTCTCTTGTGCCGCCTTGTGGCTATTTAGTGACATTGCACAAACGTATTTCAATTTAACAATTAGTAATATTATTATTATTGTTATTATTTTCAACAGATTTAAATATCAAAACAGTCGCGGACCTTTAATGGAGAGCGAGTTTGAAAACACAGCTTCTGAAAATGGACCGCTGCGCCTTTAAATGAGGTCAGAGTTCACTTGACACGTGAGTAAATCAACATGGCGGCTTCCTGCACAGTTTAACTAACGCGGATTTAAAATAGGATTGTAGAAGGTAAGCCACGTGAAAAACAACGTCTTAATATGAATAGTTAAGAAGTTACGGAAACATAAAAGCCAAATGTTTTCGTTGTTTCCAGACATTACCAATCGATAGATCATCTTCAGTGTGAGTGATAAAACAAGATACTCAGACCACCAATAAATCGCGTCTAATAACAAAGTTCGCCTCTGTTAGCGTTTAAATCAGCAAACAAAGTGTGTGGTGTTTAATTGTTTTTAATCAGTAGCCTAGATTAAGCACAATTTTGATTAATCTCCATTCTTTAATGAAGATTTATTAGTTTTTCTCTGAATTTTATTCTTTTTTTTTAGTAATTTGTTTGACCTATCTCGGACATGAAGGCTCCTAAACTCAGTTATAAACCAGAGTTGTCTCAAGTTGGAATAAAACCAACTTTTAATTACTTTTTAACTTTGTTACAAGCATCCTGTCACATGGTTGATGTTTTCACAGCCAGCAAAAGGATGGCAGATGTTTGCGTTCATCCATCGTCTGATGCAACACCCCCAAAAGAAGATCCCCCTGAAGCTACCAATAGCGTGGCTTCTGAAGCTGATGCTCAGGCTGCAGGCAACAGTGGGGCAGCTTCTGACCCCAGCTTGTACCGCTACATCAAAGAAGACCTCTTCACGTCAGAAATCTACAAAGTGGAGATCAGAAGTCTACCCAAGTTTGTTGGCTTCAACGATTTGAAGAAGTTCTTGGCCAAACATGGGCTGAACCCACACAAGATCAAGCTGTTTGCGAAGCAGAGATTTGCTTTTGTCACATTTAAGAATGAGGAGGAGCGTGAGAAGGCAATGAAGATGGTGCACGGTATGCAGTGGAAGGGCCAGGTGCTCAGCGTTAAGCTGGCTAAGCCCAAAGCAGACCCCCTCCTGAGGAAGAGGAGGCAGGAGGAGGGAGAGGGTGCAGCGGGGCAGCCTGCATCCAAGAGAGCCGATGGGGGTGAGGAGGAAGAGGAGGAACCACCACTCGATGTTCAGATCGCCAACGTGGTGACGCCTCTGTGGCAAGTGCCTTATGAGGAGCAGTTGAAGAGGAAAGAGGAGGAGGTGGTGGCGGTTCTGCAGCGGTTGGCCAAGTAAGTGCTCACACTTATGGATTCCTATCAGATCCCATTTAGAGGTTTGAATTTAGTCTGACTGGAGTCAAACATCTCTTTGTTCCATGAAAGCTTGATGTTGAAGATGATTCTAAAAGTTTGATCATGTTTTTCTACTTCAGAGAGATCGGCAGCACCAACAAAGCCATGCTGCCGTGGCTGTTTGCACAAAAAGGCAAATTTAAAAAAATGTGTTGTCCCCTCGAAGCAGTCCGGCCGTCTCCGACGCAGGTAACCCTCACCATGTTCAGAGAGGGTTTGGCATTTGTTGTGTAACACTTTTATGGGTCTCGTCATTCTGGATCTGTGCAGACTGGGTACAGGAACAAGTGTGAGTTCCTCATCTCTGTGGGAGCGGACGGGGAGGATAAGACCATCGGTTTCCGCTTGGGCAAATACAAAGGAGGGTCGTGTGCTGTGGTGGGCCCGGAAGGGACTTGCCACGTGTCGGCCGAAGCCAAGAGGGTGGTCAGCGTGTTTCAGAAGTTCATCAGGTGGTGGCAGGAACAGCGATGGCTTTTTTTTATGGGCGTTAATGTAGACTTCCAGATCTAAACCCAAAAAAAAAAACCTGCTAAAAATTTTCTTTTCTTCCATTTTCATTATTGTTTTACCACCAGGACCACAGCATACTCTGTGTACAGCCCAGAGACGTATGAAGGACACTGGAAACAGCTGACGGTACGCACCACTAGGACCAAACAAGCCATGGCTATCATCTTCTTCAACCCACAGGTGACTAAATAACCCCAGTTTGACATCCTCCTTAGATTTCTCAGTATTCATGTGTTTTACTTCAATGGCTCCAGAAACTTGAAGAAGAGGAGATCAACTCTCTAAAGGACACCATGAAGAAGTACTTCACAGAGGGCGAAGGCAAGGAGAGCGGCGTGAGCTCTCTGTACTTTGTTCGAGACGGTCAGAGGTGATTAACACACCTGCATCCTCAGTGATTCATGAAAGATAGTCTTCAAAATTACTGACGTTGTTGAGCTTCACTTGTTTTCTGTTGGACAGGAAGTCTCCCAACCTGGAGGACCTGCCCTGTGAGCTTGTAGCTGGAGAGAGCAGCATCCACGAGGAGCTGCTTGCTCTCAAGTTCAGGATTTCTCCTCACTCCTTCTTCCAGGTAAGATGGACCGGCTGGATGCAAGCAGCACACCTCTTCTCTGCCACGTTTAAAGCTGCTGATGCAAAAATGCATCTGAGGGAAAAAGTAAAAAATCTGAATGTTGTGAAAAAAGTTCAATGTTTCAGAAAGTGGAAGAATCCTCACACTGGTGGAGTTTCAAGCCTTGTTCATTTAATTTGGATTGATTACACCTAACAGAGAATGAATGTTAATGATGGGGCCAAGTGTTTTCTTGCTTAGAAGAAAGCAGTACAGCTGGTGAATGTGTGTGTGTGTGTTACCTGCAAGGTGAACACAGGGGCTGCAGAGGTGCTGTACTCAGCTGTGGGGGAATGGGCCCAGCTTGACCAGGACAGCACGGTACTGGATGTGTGCTGTGGGACAGGAACCATTGGCATCTCCCTCGCTAAAGTAAACTTTTCTATTTGTCTCATCAAATCCATGTTTTTTTTTTTTAAAGGGATATTCCACCCCAAGTAAAATTGTGTCTGTTGCCATATTTACCATAGAGAATTAGGAAAAAACTGTAACCAGCACAGCCATTCTCCCGGTCAGGCAGTACTCCATTAGCTTAGCATAAATCAATGTAAAGTGAATGGTAACAACTAGTCTAGTGTGTGAAAAGGTCCTTAAAGATGGCATATGTGATTCCTTTTCGTTACTAATTATTTTCACTTGCAGTCCGTCTGATTATTTGCGTCACCAAGCAGAATGGGGATCACTACTGAGTGATTTTAAAGAGTAAGTCATCCCCAAATCAACTTTTTTCCATGATAAACTATATAAATGCATATCTAATTGTGCTGCAGACACATGTAGTCAATTTTGCACTTTGGTGCGTTTTAGTTAAAATTTTAATTTTCTGCCTAAAGCTGTCAGTGTTGCACCCTCTTCAGGTAAACTCTGCACTGCATTTGAATTTAAATCTGCCATCGCTATTGGCTAAGAGGTACCCTAGGACGTTAGCTGGTACCATATGATGTCACAATGTTGTGAGCCTGTGTGTGTTTGTCAGCGGCTCCGCCCTCTTGGTCTGCTAGGCAACAGCTTTTGTTGCATTTTTCAAATGAGAAGTGGAAGTTGAGTAAGACTCTGGTAGGCTCTTTAAAGAGCAAGTCACCCCTTACCAGTCTTACCTCACTCCCAATTCCTGTTTCAAAAATGCAACAAATGCTGTTGCCTAGCAGACCAAGAGGGCGGAGTTGCTAACAAATACACACACAGGCTCACAACATTGTGACATCATATGGTACCAGCTAATGCCCTAGGGTACCTCTTAGCCAATAGCAATGGCAGATTTAAATTCAAATGCATTGCAGAGTTTTTACCTGACAACGGAACAACACTGACAGTTTTAGGCAGAAAATTAAAACTACAATGCAAAATTATTGACTACACGTCTCTGCAGCACAATTAGACACACATTTATATAGTTTGCCATGGGAAAAAAAAGCTGATTTGGGGATGACTTGCTCTTTAAAATCACTCAGTAGTGATCCCCATTCTGCTTGGTGATGCAAATAATCAGACGGACTGCAAGTGAAAATAATTAGTAACGAAAAGGAATCAGATGCCATTTTTGAATTAGGACTATTTTATGACAAAGCCCAGCTGTAAGCCTCCACCGAAAGGTGCAAGGTAGCCCCAAAGACACATGCTTCTGTAAACACAGTGGTGGAATATTCCTTTAAACGCTGGGTTATTTTTCATGTTGAAAATTATAAAAGTCAACCTCAGTAAAAAGGATTTAGCGCATTTTTGGGTTTGTGTTCTAGAGAGTGAAGAAGGTGATCGGAATCGAGATGTGCCAGGAGGCAGTTGAAGATGCCAGAGTTAACGCAAAGCTTAATGGTAGGACGGATTAGCTTTAAGCTCAATCTGAACAGACCAAACTGTAGTTATTGGGAAAAACTGCAGTAGTTTAAGCTTTTGACCTCTTGTGTGAAGGTTTGACAAACATCGAGTTTCACTGCGGGAAAGCTGAAGACATGTTTCCAAACATCCTCAACGCCCTCGTATCTCCCAGCATCACCGCCATTGTGGATCCACCGAGGGCAGGCCTGCGTACGTTCACCGAAAAACAGACGAAACAGTTGTTTTAGAATTTTTAACATAACCATCTTTTAATTACCCAGATTCCAAAGTGATCCTTGCCATCAGGAGAGCAGAGCATCTGAAGAGGCTAGTATACGTTGCATGCAACGCCAAAGCGGCCATGGCCAACTTCATTGAGTGAGTTTGAAATGTAACCACATTTATGCAGTTTTTGACCCTTTGGCATGATGAAAGGTCTTCTTGTGTTCAGCCTGTGCAGAGCTCCATCCAACAGAGTTCACGGAGCACCGTTCCGTCCAGTGAGGGCGATGGCTGTGGATCTGTTCCCCCAGACCATGCACGTGGAGATGCTTCTGCTGTTTGAGAGGGTGGACTACAACTCCCAGCAGCCGTGATCAGGAACAGCTTTAATTTTTCTTTAGATGTTTGCACTCATAACTACAAAATCACATCAGTGGAATGTTCGTTTAAGTTGACCAGTGACAAGAATAAAGGCTCTTCCTTAATTTCTACTTTTTGAATGACTGAAGCAGCAAAGTGTCTGAAGTCATTAGTCATTTTATTTTGCATATCAAATGTCGCTCAAATGGTAGAAGTCAGGTTGCAATACATCAGCTTCTAAAAGCAACATTTTATTGTTACAACATAAAACCAAGATTTTATTTCTCTTCACACCAGCACAGAGTTGACAGGATGTGTACAGAAGGAAAAGCACATTCTCAAAGCATCAGATGAGCTGAAACCGACGCTGTAGAAAAGCTCAGCTGTCCTTTGCTGCAGCAAATGGAGCGTTCAGATCTGTTCAACTACAGCAACACTAAGGAGTCTACACAATGCATAAGACTGCATGTAAGCTTTGGTATACACAGTTTCTTCAGCTTTTACAAGGCTGCCTTTTGAAATGTTCTCCTGTGGTTATACAGCAAGAATGATGGCAAACACAAGAAACCACGATCCATAGACGACTCGTAAAATTCTGCACATGCTGCTTACTACTCTACTCGTGACACTGAACAGGCCTTAAATATATTTACCTGACTGTTAAATGCTTCATCATGTGAATGGGCCTTGGTCTCCCACTTCCTGCTGAAGGTTATTCTAGGTCCGATGTAACATTTAGCACTTGAGCCCTTCATGAAATGGTTCAACTAAGGCAACATGTAGCCAACTTCATTTACCTTTTTAAAAGAAGGGCATCAGAAATGAAATGTCTAAAGCAACCGGTGCATGGCAGTAGGGTAGGAGTAAAGGACTCGGGCTCTGGACTGGGTTTACAGCAGAGCCAGGATGGGGTGAAGAACCAAAGCAAAACAAAGCGTCCACCCAAGTCTCAGAAGCAGTCAGACCAACAACAAGAACATCACACACACACACGCACACACACCAATAGTTCTGAACAGTGATCACTTCACAACGCATGTTCTTGTCATGCAAAGCAAGACGACAACTTCTCATTGATAAAACGGAACAATTGCATTCCTCACCCAAAATATCCAGAAACTACGATTAAAACACTAAATAAACCAGAAAGTTTTATTTCCAATCATTTGAATGGTAAAAGTACAAATAGTAGTCCCTTTCAAACACTTCAAGCACTGAAACCATGAGATTGTGACTAGAAAACACTGACCGAGAAACCAATTAGCACAGAGGTTTTTATGGATTAAACACGTATGCATGCTGTAATCTGATGTGGTTCATATTTTAATCAATAAAGTTTCAGTGCCGTAGAAAGCTGCAACTAGAGAGGTATTTAGTCGGGGGTCTGTAAGTGCATTTAGTCCTACCATTATAACAATCTGCTCAGTCACGAGAGGGTGTGTGTGTGAGGGAAGCCAGCTGGTCAAACGTGGGACTACACCGTCCTTTTGTCTCAGAGATGCATACTTTCGTCGTGGGGGTGACCTTTGACAGTGACCGGCTTTCAGTGCGGTGGTTCATCAGTGATTTATGAGAATTAAACATCAACAGTGCAGAGAGGCTCACTCCCCGGCTGGGCAGACTCCATTATGGTCATCTTGGGTTTCTTTCTCGTCTCCTCCTGATGTGAAAACAGTCAAGTACAAAGTTCATGAGCAATGCGTTTAGAAAGACCGGACTTCATGGAAAACAACTACAGAAGGTTTGCACCAGGAATCGTTTCTGTAAAATCACACAAAACAACTGGACTCCACTCCTCCAGACTGGGGTTCTCACTTGAAAAACAGAAATCAGCCTCAGGAATGGGCAGTCCACACTCCCAGACTCAATCATTTAAACATAATTTAACCTTTAGTTACTGATGTTACAACCCCGGCACTGGTGCATCGTGTGGAGAGGAGGGGGTAACAAAACTTGACAGGTGGAAAATCTATAAATGTTTTTTTTTTTTTTAAAGGGCCAAAAACGGAAAAACACAGGGAGGACGTTACCGAAACAAAAACGCCTATATTCTAACGAAAGGAACAAGTTATTTAACGGATTGGAATGAAATGAAATGCAGGGATTTCACCTTCTCAAAACAAGCTACAATTAAATAAGGAATTATCCTTTTTATGCAAAATTTAATCTAAATGAAAACAGTCCAGTTATCTACCAAAGTAACTCAAATCCTCAGAGGGACAAACGAGAACACAAAGATTAAATTCAAAGGACCATCTTCACAACTAAATTTACTCTCCCAAAACCGGGCGGGCGTTTAACAGATTCAAAAGGGCAACGTCAAAGATCTTCTAATGATCGTTCCCAGTTAACCCAGTTAACATTACTCACAAAACATTCGTAACTCTAAACTCTGTTTTTAAATTACCACCAACCACTGAGGTCTCCAACTACCGCGGAGCAAAAACCAAGTGTTGTCATCCTGGTTTGCCTCCTCGACTGGTTGAGATCACTGCCTTTTGTCTCCCGGGCAACTAATCAACGGTAATGTTGCCCAGCTGAGCTCATCAGATGCCGGCAGGAGCGCCGGTCTGGACCAACCGGGAGGCCAGAAGCGTCAGGGCTGGAACTGCAGGGAGAGGTTTGGGCGGTGTCCATAATGGACATGTCCTAAAACAATAGTGTCCAGCCCTGGTCCCTGAAAGCCCCCATCCATCCATCATAAGGAGGAAGAGATATTTTAAAAACCACGAGGTGCTTCACAAGAACAATAACTGAACAAACAAAATTTAAAAAGTATAAAATTGGGAAAAGTAAAAATTTTATATCAGGGAGAAGTAATATCCAACACGTTTTAGTTCTTTCACTGCTTCAACACGCTCAGTATCAATTAGGTGATTAACAGGCTTCTGTAGAGCTAGATAACATGTTGAACAGGTGAATCAACCACTGAATTAAATGTGTTGAAGTGAAACAACAAAAACATGCTGGATACCAGCCCTCCAACACCAGGACTGGGCATCCCTGTTGTAGTTTCTCTGCTTCAACACACCTGGTTTTAAAACGGGCCGCTGCAGAACTCCTGCTGAATCAGGAGTAGGAACTAAAACGAGCTAACGCTAACGTGTGTCTGGCTCTGTTCTTACCCTCTGAGCTGCCAGCTTTTGCATCTCCTCTTGCAGTTTGTTCAAGATGTGAAGGTTTGGCTTGTTCTTTTTGGCATACTGCTGAAGCTCAATCACACTCTTGTCGGAGCTCTCCTGAGGAAAGCACAAGTTCATTTAATTCATTTCTGGTAAATTTCTACCTTCCAGCTCAGGAGGACCCTCACCTTCTTGACCATCTTGTTGCTTTCTCTGCCGTACATTCGTAGCAATGAGCCCCAGTTCTTAACATGAGGGTGCAGCATCTGCAAGATCTTTTGAGAGGCTAGCTGTTTGCCAACCCTTTTGTTCTTACCTAGCGACAAAAACGACAAATGCACAAAACCCGTTTATGAAAACTACACCGGGATGCTGCGAAATCCTACCTAAACACAGATATAACTAGAACAGACAGCATTTGTGAATGTTAGCAGTCAGGGTCTACTTACACCAGCCTCGAACAGTATGTTTCCCACACGTCATAACATATTCACTCTTCTGGTTTTTTCCTGGGATCACCTCAAATTTAATGCTAGTGTCTCCCATCCCATGGTTTCTGCAAAGCAAAACAAACATTTACTTTTATTTAAACATCCCAAACCTGGCTACACTGGTGGTTAAAATCAAAATAACTACTTAAAGCAGTAGCTGACACATATAATCTACCTTTTAAGGCACTCATGAAGAATCTGATATGGCGAAAGAAGTCCTGCTTTGTTGGTCAGCTCATACACTCTAGAGTCTTCTATACTGATATGATTAAAATACTGTAGGAGGAAGCACAACCAAGTATGAAACAGTTCATTTCATTTGTGATGGAGAGTCCACACGGAGAGAGAAAGCATGAATGTAATGTTGGTGATAAAACACACCTCCAGCTCGTCACCTTCGGCAGGTTTCTCCTCCGAGGTCTGCTTCACAAAGTCAGGGATGAGGATTTCCAGTGTGGCTCGAGCTGAAGTTTGACACATCAGCAGGTGAAATGATAGCAAGTGTGTTCAGGTACGTACTGCACATATTCACTCAACGTGACACAAACACACGACAGCTGCGGCATTTGCCAGGTAACTCAGGGTCGGCCAAGAGTTAAAAATAAACTTACCAGCTTTGTTCTTGGCAAGTTTCTTACTGCTCGCAGTTCCTGTGCCGTAAGTGACTCCGTCTATAATAACTGAAGCTCCAAAGGGTTCGCTTGAGTTCTCTGTAGGACACAAAATCACCGTCTGATGTACAGTCCAAAAACACGATCAAAACAAAAGCATGGTTCAAAAGCTTAAGCTCCTAAATCTGAAAAGGGACTGGGTGAAGACCAACCAAGAAAATAAACTTTACCTGTAGACAGATTTGTCTTTGGTCGATGGTTTTGAATTTTGTACTTGATTAAAGAAGTCGTTGACTGGTTTAATCAACACATTTGCAGTGGTCTCCACCAGAAAGATGTCAGAAGAGTAGGGATGGGCAATAAATTAAAAATGTATTGTCATCCAAAATTCTGACTCTTATCGAGAATTTTTCCCATATTAATAAGTTTGATTATAAAAAAATGAAAAATGTGTGTGTAGGTTGGCAGCGTTCGTGTCCCTTTAAGAAGCTGTACCACCTGTGACAGCCCCATCTAGTGGACAACTTTTGTTTCTGCACATACCCGTAGTTATCGTCCGTTCATGGTTAGAGGTGAAATCCTCAATATATCGTGGTATTGACTTTAGGCCATATAGCGCAGCCCTACGGGACGGGAGAGTCTGGCTAATAGGTTTGAGTGATGTTAGTAAGCTAAAATGTTTAGTTTTATTTCTTATGAGGGGGGACCTCGAATATTTGAAATTAAGAGTTGACAATACTGGTACATCAAAAATCAGTAATAAAGTCGACATCGAGCATTCCTAGTTTTTATAGAAAAGGTGAATATTAGTGATGCACCGATATGAAAGTTTTGGCCCAATACCAATATTAATATCACTGTTATGGCCGATAACCGATATTTTCCGATATCGATATAGTGAAATTAATGCATCCAAAATCAGCAGAATTTGTACAGAATGAAAATTAGTAAAGCTGAATGCACACACACACACACACACACACACACACACACACACACACACACACACACACACACACACACACACACACACACACACACACACACACACACACACACACACACACACACACACACACACACACACACACACACACACACACACACACACACACACACACACACACACACACACACACACACACACACACACACACACACACACACACACACACACACACACACACACACACACACACACACACACACACACACACACACACACACACACACACACACACACACACACACACACACACACACAAAATGGAAAAAATATTGCTTGTTGAAATGAGCCCAGTGATATTTATGGGGCCGATACTGATATGTTCAAAAAAACGACTCGGCCGTTACAGATATTGACGCAGACATATCGTGCATCCTTAGTGAATATACTGAAATTTCAACCTAAGTATCTGACATCCCACCCAGAGCAAATTCTGCTCAACCTCTCATTAAAGAAAAACGTGCGCTGTCTGCTCCTCCTCTGTTCACATCAGGAGAAAAAAAAATTCAATGAGCACTTCTGCTCACGCCTACCATTTTCTGTAGCTCTTTGAATCACTAAGGAATGTTTTTTTTATTTGTTGATCTTTTTTTTTTCTTTTCTCTCTCCAAATTTTCAAGTACACTTCAGGTGTTGTACTACACTGTCCTCAGGCTCCAGCCTTGTTTTATATTGATTGTATTAAAACAAAGAAAACAATCTGAAGTTTTTTATTTTATTTACCGGTCCGGCCCACTTGGGACTAGATTTCCCTCAATGTGGCCCCTGAGCTAAAATTGTGTTTGACACCCCTGGTTTAGATACACAAAAATGATCACATTTATCAATTGAGAAGTTTTATTTTGAAAATTCTCTTTTATTTTGTTAAATTTACCGGCCTGCCTCATCTGCTTTGGTTTGACTTCCTGCCAGAATTGACGCGGCTCACTCACGGCTCACGAAAAAAAAAGAGCTCATGCCGAAACGATCGCAGCACGGCGCAAGCCTTCGTGGCGCTTCGCAGCTGATGTGACCAAGAGTGTAGATTAAGTAGGGCGCCTATTAAAAGTGCTTGCCGTTCCACGGCGGTTCGGCTTCTGGTGTGTTCCGGGCGCAACCTTCACCTACGGGATTGGCCAAGACGCCAACCAAAAGCTTACAGATCAGGGTTGGTGCTGTTAAGGTTAGAATGAACATGCCAACAGAGTTTATGATGAGAACTTTGTAAGAGAATGAAGCGTGATGATGGTCATCAGTATATTACATTGGATTGTGGATGCCAGACTTTTTGGGGACTATTTTACTGGAGGACATTAAGTGGACACTTGTGGATGCGTCGTGTCATTTTTGTTCCATCAGTGATGTGAGGCTTCAGTGAGCTGAACATTACTTTGCTTTTCTGAGTGGATTGATAAAAACGTTTAACCATGTCCACAGTTATCGCTGTATCATGATGCAAAAACATCTGCTTTAATCAGGAAGAATGTAATTTAATGACAGCGGTACGGAAAACACAGATGAGTTCATGCCAACCAGATGGCATGAGTAACATTACGTAGTGTCGTTCAAGTCATCTGTTGAAAGTTCTTTCTTAATATTGCAAATATAAATCCCAGAGTTAGAAAAATAATTGCAATGTGAATGATTTCCACCATCGTGCAGCCCTAGGTCCAGGTTAAAAATGCCTCCAGTACATCAAAGAAGAACTTACCACAATCAAAAAAGTTGTAAACAGGTCGGACCTTCAGCACGCGCTGCATATATTCATGTAGGATGCAAACTTCTGACTTCCCATTAGGATTAATGACAAACTCTGTTGAAACAGACATTTGATTGCATCAAAAACAAGAAGTTTGTGCTTAGATGGCTTCATGTCTAACATGAATGAGTGCGTCTCACCTTTCTTAGTAGGCGCGTCTTGGACCGACAGTGTGATGAGTTTCTGGTTGGCAGGCAGAATGGGCCGCTCTGACTCGGCCTGCTTCCTTTTCATGTCTCTGTTGAACTGTCGTCGCTCAGCCCATGTGCGAAACTTCTTAACAGTAACTTGTTCAAAGTCGAAGCATTTTTCCAGGTACAGACGAAACTCTTCAAGTTCTGCAAGCACGTCGTGTGACGTTATATTCAGTCCATCATTATGTCCATCACCTGACAGCTTAATTGGAAAAGCCCTTACCTATGGACTCATCCTTGCACACCTCCACCTTGGCCTTGACCTGCCCCAACGCTCCTTGAGCAATGTCGCAGGACTGCGACTCTTTACTCTGCAGGTTATCAGCTGCAGGCTCTTCATCCTGGCAGCTGCCAGTGATGCTGGATGAAGGGAGAACATCCTGCTCTTCCACTGACGTTCCAGCCGTTTCTTCAGCATCAACCTCCTCACCGGACTTCACCGGAGACTCCTCTGCATTAGATGCAACCTCCCCATTCAACTCCCTTTCCTCATGTTCCCTCATTCTTTTATAATGCAGACAAGGGATGCTGCTGACGGGAGGGTCGTGTTTCTGCATGAGAAACACCACCAATTATGTTGTTCCTGCTTTCAATATTTCATAAAAGCATCTGATGTATGGAGACTGGAACAATGATACCAAATGTTCTGATAGACACTTAAACTACATCATCAAAATCTTTGCACCTAATCTGGTTGGTTTGCTCTTGAGCTTACCCGAATACTGCCGGTTCCGAGGAAGTAGGGCCTGGACCAGGTGACCACCCTGGTCTCTCTGTGCAGGTAAACTGGAATGCCTGAGTTATGGAATGTCATGATCCATCCATCAGGTAGAGGCTCAGTGGGTGGACGGCCCCGACCTGCCACAAGACAAAATGTAAATGCAAATCTAACCGAGTCAGGTGGCACTCAATAGATGACATGCATGCTGTGCCGCCATGTCCAAGAACCTTCAGAAATGTGGACGTTAACGTTTTTTATTAGGGGTACGCGATATATTGGCATCATTATCTGTATTGTTAAGGCTGAACGACTGATCCTTTTCTTGTTGCAAGAACCAAGCCCAACGCTTGAGCTGACAAAGCATCAGGTTGTTTCTCCATTTCATGTCACTGCTTCAGTCAATATTATTCATTTTGGTAGTCATCCGTCTCGGTCGCTTATTTTCTGCCCCTCAGCAGTTTGGGAGTTTGAGACGGAGAGGCTGGTCCACCTGCCTCCTACAACAGCAGAAAGGAATTTAACGCAGTAACATTATGTGGACTTGAAAACACAACTTCATCTTGAGCGTTTAAATTTTCCTGATAGCACAAACACTTGTGAAGTGTAAATCAAAGTAAGATTTTAGCTTGTAAAAATTCATAACTATAAATCAGACATACCACAGAAGCCCTTTTTCCCAGCATAGCTACCATTTACCACATGGCCAGATTTATAGTGTTTTCTCCATGTTTAATGCATGTATGACGTCTGCTGTGATGTCACATATACTAGGGATGTAAGAATATATCGATGTGGCGATTGATCGTGATTTTTTTCCCCTACAATAATGTATTGACATTCAAAAGCTGTGTATCCAATTTTTGGAAGAACTTACATGCAAACATTTAGTTTCTTTTCTTTTGGTGCAATTCAAATGCCGGCCGCTAGTTGGCAGCAGTGTGCAATGGGTTTTGTTTCCACCATTGAAATGTAAATCCCTCTATTATGGTTCAGATATCTCATGTTAAACATGTTATGTATCAGTTTGGACTGTTTATTAAATTTTCCTATAATAAATTCAGTCTAAAAAAATAAAATTGCTAATAACGTCTGAATGTATCTCATATATGTCATTTTAATTATGAATTCCTCCAAGCTAAGCTGAAATTATGAGACAGTTGAAACACACATTACGTTTCATTTAAATTACAACACGAGTGATTCAGGGCATAAGGAAAAGAAATTAGCTTTTATAGCCCCGTTAACTGGCATTCATTTCTTCTTTGTTCCAGGGACCCAACCCTTAATTATTTGTTCGAGTGACAATGATAGTAATCATCTCAAATATGTTTGTGTACACAAACACACATTATGTAAATATTGGGTTATCAGCAATAACAATATTACTATCTGCCCACAGTTTAATATGGTTTGATTCATTATGGATTGTGTAACTGTGTGTTTTGTTGTTATAACTGTCAAAACAGATTAAACTCATAATCTTGACTGAAAATCGGGCTAAGAAAATGCTAATATTACTCTGAAATGTTCTTAAGACCGATGCTAAACCCTGTTGAAGACTAAAAATACTGATGTTCTCCTGAAGAGTAAAGTGAATGTTCAACTGTCACGGTTAACATTGTACATCCCACTACTCTACTACTAATCCATTAGGCCATCACACCTGACACCATCTCAGAACCACCTTGTCAACACCTGAGCACCACAGAGAATCTGGGATTAGTTACTCCTTTGAAAAGACACATGTAAGTGGAATAATCCAGATTCAGCACCAAACCCTAAAACCACTCACTCTTCAGGACAGTCTTAATTTTGGTCATCATGGGCTGTACACCTCCTTCTCCATCTGACTGATGATCACTGTCTCCAGCATACTTATCGTCCGTGAGGCGCATCTTCTTTGGGACGGGCATGCCCTCCTCCAGCAGAGCGTCAACATCATTGTCAAATCCTCCCTGGAAGAGTCAGTGGTTAAACCCGGCAAACAGTGAAAGGAGAACAGCTCAACAGCTCAGTATGGAATTTTTTTCTCGAGTTGAATTTATATATATATATATATATATATATATATATATATATATATATATATATATATATATATATATATAAATTGGAGATGTGATGCCTGGCGATTAAATAATAAAAAAAAAACACACAAAAAGCACAGTAAGCATCATGAGATCTTGTGGGAATAAAACAGAATTTCAATTAGGGATGCACCGATACGATACTGGTATCGGTATCAGCACCGATACCAATACCGGTAAAAGTTAACAGATACCAGGAACCGACACCAATGCAGTTGCTTGAAAATGGCTTCACTGTAACTTGTCATTTCTGTTCACATAATATTTATTTTTGTGATGATTCATTGATTTTACTTTTTAGCTACTTCAGTCTTTTCCTGTTGAAAGCAGAGAAGAAAATAAAATCTGTATTCCAAATCATTGCATTTTTTGTGTGGTAGAAGCATCGGTATTGGTAATCGGTATCGGCAAATACTCAGATCCAAGTATCGGTATCATATCGGTTTGGAAAAAAGTAGCATCGTTGCATCTTTGATTTAAATAAAAGTCACTGCACTCCTGCTACAACATTTTATGCAAGTTCAGCTACCCTTTATTACAGAGAATAATTAGCTTGATTTCAAAAGGACACCAAGTTGAGATGAAATAAAAGTGGCACTAACCTCATCCTGCATCACACGTCTCAGTTTCAATAACAAAATATGAAAAAAGAACATTTACACCGCTCAGGAACAACTGATCCAGTCTAAACTAGACGGTGGTTGTCTTTTGGATATTTTTCTGACTAAAACAAAGCTATATTTAACAAGTACAATTTTCTTTCTATTTTAGACAAAAGCCTAAATTTAAACATACAAAAGCAAAATCTGAAAGATGGAAAAACTAGCTGCCACAAAACAGCCACTAGCCGTTATATTTCCTTCCTGTAAGATTAATTTCCACGGATGATTGCAATCCATTGAAAAACTTTGAAATGGTTTGAAAATTTGGTCCAAGAGTACATAAAAACAAAGACGTGAAATTTTGCTGAATGCATTTTAAAAAATCAGTTTGCAACAATCAGAGAACGCCGTGTAAATTAGAGGTGTGAATCTTCACTTGTCGCCCGATTCGATTATTGGGTCAACGATTCAATTCGATTCAATATCCTGATGCATCACGATTATTTCATATTGATTTGTTTTTGTTGATAAATAGAAGATGTCAGATAATTGCTTTTTATTTATTTATTTTTAATCAAAAACTTAATTGACAACCTGCCTTCCCTCAAAAGCTCTCCATTCACAACAGGTTAGGACTAAACATTTTAAACATTTAAGAAGATTTAACAAAGTAAAACATCTGTTTCCTCGTTCAACACCACGCCTCAGGCTGAGAAAAACACGCTTTGCAAAAATTCACAAATTCTAAAAAAGTACTGAAAACCTACAGGACACATAATGTCATAATAAAATACATAATAGGTTCATATAGGAGTGTTTAATGTCTCTGAGCAGCTCTAGAGTAAAATATTATGCCGCAGTTCAAGGGTGTCAGAAATAACACCAAATGAAACGTTTGACTTAGTTTTTTTATTTGAACCCAAAGGTCTCATTTCTGAAATGTTGGGGAATGAATCAGTTCTGTTTGATGCAGAAAATAAAACAAATTCTACACTTCCAATAATATTTAAGGTGTGTTTCATTCTTTCTGATAATAACCCCAGCAGAATGCTGTGGGCTGGATTAGGATTAAATTACCCAGATGATGGATCTCTTTCACTAACCGGCTAACTACAAACCTTTCCACTAACCTGTCCTGTGTGACCCTCATGTCCGTGCTGTCTCTGGAGGAGCAGATAGGAGACAGACCTCCTGTAACTTAAAATGAACCAAAGCTTCCTCCCAGTTTTTTTTAATTGAATGTAACATCAGTTTATCATCATAAAACAAAAGAATAAAGTGGAACAAGAACTTTATCTTCCATTTCTCTCTCCTTTTAACTTCTCCATGTCCCTAAATTAAAAAGAGACAGACGATTACGCTGCAGCAGCAGTCACTGACCCCGCCCCCTCCCCAAGACCAGATCTTCCAGCTGATTGAGCGCTTCACGTACAAATAAATTCTGAAAATAATAATCTCTCTCTCTCTGGAGGACACTCACTGACAGATTTGGATGCTGCGCTGATGCCGCCGTTAAAAAAAAAACAAAACTACATTCCACTATAATCGATTATGGCGTACTCTTCTACGATGCAGAATCGTTTATGTCCGCATCCCAATGCATCGATTATTTGATTATTTCCCTCAATTTTAGTGTAAATATGGGAACTGGTTTAATTTTATATTCGTGAAATGATGCCCAACAAAAAGACAAAGATCTAAGGTTGCAGTGGAGTGACAGTGCTTGTCGTACAGTAATGCTTTCTGAGACAAATGGAGAGTGTGGGTTTGCCAACATAAGCCCAGTCGTACCTCATAGGAGTAAGCTGCAGCCTCTTCATCCGCTTGTGCCCGCTGAACTATGGTGTCAGACTTAAAGCCGCTGTGCTCATCATCCTGATCCAAGAGGTTCTCGTAAAAGTCTTCCAACTCATCCAGGACAGCAAACTCAACCTTGTTTTCCAGGTCTACCTCCATCTCATTGGATGTTCTACCTGTTGGGTTTGCAGCTCCACAGCTACCTCCAGCTACTTCTTGCATACTTATTACTTCATGCAATCCCCCATTAAAACTGGCTAAGCCTTCCTCACTTCTGACCTCCTGCCCCTCACCTGTGTACAACACCTTCCTGTCTTTGCTACTGTTACTAACGCTGCTGGTCTCAGTGAAGCTCACGCGGATCTTAACATCTCTGAGCTGCTTAAGGTCTGGCAGAAACCTGGCGACCTGGGGAGCATGGCGGGCTGTTCTTGGGCACAGTGGGTTGGAAGTGACCTCATCTGAAAGGCGGCTACAGAAACTTAGGGAGCCCTTGCTGATGGGCTGCTGTGCGTTGGTTTCCCCGTCCCCTGGGGTGGATGTGTATCCATCACCACCAGAGCTAACGTCCATTACCTCTGCGTCACTGGACGTTTGCAGGGGAGGTGGTGGAGGTGCTCTGCCCTGGTCTAGATCAAATTCATCAGGTGGTTCCAAAGGAAGAGGGGGTAGAAAATCATCGAAATCCATTTAGTCTAAATAACTGGAAACTGCGCTAAAATTTCAGATTCTCTCCTTATCTCAGCTGAAGATGCATGCACTGACGCAGAAGCTCATCCCTGCGTATAGACCACGTACCAGAGGTGAATATGCTAAGCTGACTACATTGCTCTTTTCATTAATGTAGACAGCTTTCAAAATCACTGTCTCAATTACTGGAAATCACAATGCATTCAGCTTATGGAACAGAGGCACTGATCATTCTCCACCGCGACCATCTGGGAGCTAAAAGAGGGAAAAAAACACAGCAAGGGGACAGATTTCAGATATGACACAGCGTTTTAAAATTCAGAACACATGTAAGAACTGTGCACCTTTAAACGTGCTTTGCGTTAGTTCGAGACTTAAACAGTTAATTGAATAGACGATATAAAAGAGGGACCATCTATTTTAGTTCGCACAGACAGCGACTGGGCCTTTCCCAACGTTAGCCGTAAAGCTAATGTGCTAACAAGAAAAAGCAGACAAACTTCAAAACAGCTTATTCTCTACCTATACGTGTACTTACTGATAAACAGGACACGCGCCTCTCCTCCAAGTAACTTAATCACCTTCTAAACTATTTGATTCTCGAGGTGTTGCCATACAACCTAAGTGGCAGCGCCGCCATCTTGAAGAAAAGCACAGCGGCAAATCACCATAAGCTCCGCCTTCTTGGACCGGCTTTTTGATGATTGACTGATTAGTGAGCCAATCACAGCCTCCGAGCTATAGCTCAGCCAATTAACGGAGTAGAATCACTAAGGAACCACATCATTGAGGATCAGAGCAAATTCCCGAAATTATGAAAATATTGATTTACATTTACATTTTTATCACACGAGCTATATATTTTTCCTCACTCAACATTATTAAAGGGAGACCAGGCAGTTTTGGCTTGCTTTGAGCACCCTCTAGTGTCTGTTTAGTAGAACCAAAAGCACAATTTATCTCCTCACCAGGCATTAGTGTTTTTAACCTTAATCTGAAAACTGAAATGTCTCCCCAGCCTTCATTGGTGTCTACAGGAGAGATTCATCACTAAATTATTCAAATCAGCAGTGTTCATGATCTAAAACATGCAGGAAACGTGCTGGAAGCCACCTGCAGTATCAGGTAATTTATTTTTTTCTAAGTTCAACAGACCCAACAGGCACTCTTAAGTTGCAAATGCGGTATTCTGGTGAAAGAGGGAGGTGGGGGTCTGAGTGACATTTCCGTAACCCTGTAAAGGGTCATTTTAGCACATACTGGCATGAGTAAATGGTTTAATATGAAAGTGGAATATGAAAAAATTGTAAAAGTATCCCTTTAAGGTGCAGTTTTATGTGTTTTGGTTGAAAAAGTAAATCATTAGTTTGACCATTAGGTTGTTGTTGCAAAATTAAAGAAGCATGTGTCTGTGGTTTTATAATTATTAGGTATTTCTAGCAGAATTAGATTTACGGTTATGTGTAAGATTACCTGGTACTTACTGTACATCTTAGGTTATTTGTTCACAATCCAAAATGAAGAGCAAGTAAATGTAATTATTTCAACGTATATCACCTTTTTAACAGCTTAGGAGCAAAACAGAAATGCAGTGGAAAACAATGTGAACAAAATATTCCCTCAATGAGCTATTTTTACTTGTGAATTTAATTAATGCAAATTATTCCTTGTGCATCAGTAAAGATGTGGACATTTTTATGTTAAACTGATCTCAAATATTTTTCCCATTTTTATTCATTTATTTTAAACCACAGAAGTCAAAAATTCATTGCCTGAAACATTTTGCACACAACACTGTTGCAGCCAACAATGGGATAACTGATGTGATGGCAGTGAGCAGGATGGCTGAAATAAGTGTTGGAGTAAACAGACTCCCCGCTCATAATGACTACTGTAAACTTAAATCTGAACACATTTCAAGCTACAGACTGAAAATTGTACAAAAAGCACATTCCCTCTATACTATGGACTGAAAAAGAAAGTTTGACTTCAAGCACTCCAAGATTTTAGGATCACTAGCAACAGATTAGACCTTTCTAAGCATTCCAACACCAGTTCTGTGACATGTAAGCAAAATATTTCCCTCTACAAAATTACAAATGTACTTTGGCATTTTTTCCCAAGTTGCATTATAACTTAAATCAAGAACAATAAAATCCATATTGCTAAAGTTTATGAGGCAGCCAAAGAAAGAGTGCAGCCAAGTCTTCTTTTCTCACTTCACTGCTACAGCTGTGCAGCTGCAGTGGAGCGGCCGAGTCAGGTGGAAGGAAGGGGTGTCGCAGAAAGGCACATAGTGGGTGTTCTCCATTTGGTCACACCTGCAGGTTAAACTGAAAAGTACTGGTGCTCCATTTGCTCTGGTCACAGTTGAGCATTGTGCGCTCGGTAAAGGTGACATTCCCTTCTGCATCTATCAGGATTATTGTGTTGGTCCTGAATGGGAGGGCAGATAAAAACACACAAACTGTAACTATTATTGCTAAGGTGAGGCCAAAAACTGCTTTTTAGCCCAACATGTGGGGGAATGAACAGGGAACGAGAAAAAAGTGTCTTTTTGTCACTGAAATACAAAGTCTAATTTTTGGTTACAGGAGACACTCGATATCTGTGAATCTACCTAACCCTTTAGTTTTTTCAGCTGAGGAGATCATTACATTACAAAACTACTCAATCTTCTGCCAGTTGCAGCCAAACAGTCCATTTAGTTATCACCAGAGAAAACAAACATGCGTTACAAGAAAAAAGATTCCAAGGGAAGATGTTACTGACCTTGTGCCATAATTAGGGGAGCGAACACACACAGCGGACAAAGCCTGGACCATAGACCTGCTGTAGGATTCACCCTGGCTCTCCTGGATCAGATCAGGTGTGTTCCTATTTAATAACACACAGATGAAACTTCATCATATCCATCTATCCATCTCTAAAAAAGGTTGTCAAATAATTTTCTCCACAACTTGTATAAAGTCAGCAGGTTGACAAAGCAGGCTGCTGTGTGTTATTTAATGTGAGGGTTTACTCATTACTCACAGTTCCTCGTTATTAAGGACAGTGAGCAGCTCTTGCACCAGTCTATCACAGGATAGTGACTGGTCACTGACGACGCTAGTGAAGTGGTGCTTGCCTCGCAGCAGTTTCTTCCACGGCGTATCCAGGAGCGAATTACTTAAGCCATAGATTCCTGCTGAGTGAGCACATAAACACCACAAAACAACACACACAATCGTTAAGTTCTGCAGGTGTCCGACTGGCGATTTCTTCAAAAAATAAAGTAATCAGAGAGCAATATCAACAGAAATGTCAGGCTAACATGAACAGACCAAAGGCCGAGAGGAAAGGTGAATGTTAAATGAATGGTTGCCACAGCAACAGTGTTAAAAACACAGACCTGGATTTAGATGGATGGGTTCAGATCTGCCTCTGTTTCCATAGTAACACACAGTGTCTCGTTTGGCTCTGGATGGGACACAGCATTATAGAAAATTAGACATTGCCTTACATGTATAATATGTTTATGTACAGTTATGAATGCTGTGCAAAGACTCACAACCAATGTTATTGAAATAATAACAGATGCGTTTTAGGGGATATTTAAAGGATCATTCTCAGGGAAAACGTAATTTCCCCTTATAATGAAAGAGGAACTCAAAAGTGTTTCTTTTTTCCTTTTCAATTTGGGAAAATATAGCTGTGCTGTTCACCCCTGGAATGAGTCTGAGTGGTTAAAGACCGTATCATAACTGCATAACTCAAATGTTTGATCTCCAAATAGTTAAAGTTAAGGCTTTTAGAGAACAAATCTGTGTTTCAAACTCTTTTCACTGCCACAAAACTCTTTCATAGTGTTTGAACCCCTTGCAAAGTCTTCAGATAGAAGGAATTAATTCATTTTGAAAAATCTATCCAACATGAAGGGCATCCGTCATGGCTTTGGTACAGGAGAGTGAATCATAAATGATGACCAAATCCTTTGAACTGGATGGCGAGCAAACTTTTTGATGTTGGTTTCATGACAGCCATTCCAGCGACATCAGTCAATCTGAAACGTGGTGCTATGCTGCTTCAACAGCTAAAATGGAAACGGTACGATGACATGCTGGCACAACAGAGACAAAGATTACTGCCGGGGGCGTTTCCTCCTTTAATTCCCTCAGTTGTTTTAAAGACAAATCAGAAACTAGATGATCATCTTTCATTCTACATCCCACTAACAGATACTTTACTAGTCACTTGGGGATAATGAATATCTTAGTTCTTATTTAGCAAATTTTTTACGTTGAAAGTGAGTGTGTATTTTTCCTGGCGATAGGGGGCAGTAGATACCAAAATCGTTGCAAGCAAGCAGAATTTTTGTTTTGGAGTAAGACCTTACCAACGGATGCCCATTAGGGTCAAAAAGCCCTGGGGAGTGCAAACTTTAGCAAAATAACATCAGACTCACTTTCATCACTGGCAACAAGTGAAGAGGTAAACGTGTAAAACAACAAAATTTAAGAATGAAAAAAGGTTTGTAACCTTTGTTACAAATCAGTAAATGCATTTTGTTCCCATGAACTCTCGTAGAAGGAAACATGGCATCAAATATGGCGTCGCCAAGAGACTTAGGGTGTTTCTCAATGCCAAGGAACCTTGCCTTGTCTTGGTCCCGCCCTGGTTGCCTAGGAGATACGTCATCAGAAACTGCCAAGGCATGTTCCATTGTTCACGTTCTACCCAAGCCCCCACAATGTGGGACAAAAATTGAGGCCAACGTGGAAGTGAAATAAATTGCAGTTCCACCCTCATCCACTGGGGGCTGGTGCCAGAAGTGAGCAAATCCTCATTGACTCCCATGTAAAAATTCCAATTTCACAGCAGAAATAAACATGTTAACAGCCTGGTACCAAAACATGTTTTTGATTTAATAGATCTAGTTTACACTCATGACAACTCTGAGGGGGGTGAATTGTTTTCTCACTCTTCTGTTTAAGTGTATTAAAAGCCTAAAATTCTGTATAATTAATGAGCATCAGACCCACGTGACCACAGAGCTAGCTCCAGGGAAAGGCCTCAGCCTGAGCCTCGGCCTCGCCTGAAAATTGTTCCGTGATTTTCAGTCTCTCAACTTAGACCATTAGTTGTAGCGTTTGTGTATTCTTTTTTGGATATTTTTGTGCAATTGTTGGACAAAATGACTAGCTGTGGCATTAATTGCACTAATAGAGCGTCCAAGGAGTCTCCACTTCATTTTTTTCGGTAAGTAAAATTATATTTATGTATTTTAGGTCACTGCCGAGCTGAGCTTAGATTTTAACATGTACTGTTTAACCATGAAATTTAAATGTAATAGGGTAAAAGCCAGTGCATTTAACATAATGCTGCACTTTAGAAAATGGGTTGAAATATAACATGTTGGTGGAGCTGGGTTCCCACTATCGGCTTGTGGAGCTCTCGGGAGACCTCTGTTTTCCACCCGGTTCTCCCCTCCCCATAGCTCCGTGCATCTCTAATCGCCGCAGCTCATGTCTGCTGTGCAGCTGCCGGCTTGTGAAGCTCTCGGGGGACCTCTGTGTTCCACCCGGTTTTACCCAGCGGTCAGCCCGGCGTATCTCTGACTCAGAAGCTCTGGTGTTGTGCACAGTTAACTATGGTTGTAGCTAGGTTGCTACCTCCGTTAGCTTAGCTCCCACCTCCACGTTAGCTTTGGGTTAGCTTCAGGTTTGCTTGTAGCTAGTTCGACCGGGTGTCGTCAGTTGATCCCAGCCTTACAGCCCCACCCTCAGCTCCACCTCTCTTCCCTTTTGTGGAATTGTCTGGGCTTGACGGAACCTGTGACACGGTCAAAATGGCGGTGGCGGCCACCTCCCATTTCCCCTCAAAAACGTGTTATTGGAGCCTATGGAAATGAATTGTCCAGTATATATGTCGATGGTTCTACCTAGGCGTCTGTTCTCCGTTTAGCTAGCTGAGCAAGGATACACGGGAGGTGTCTTGTAGCCTAGCCGTGATCCAAAATTTCCCAGAATACACTGCAGTATTTTCAAAAGGATGGTGGATCAGAGGCCGGCAGCTACTTCGAGGGCAAATTTCAAGTTTAAATGTAAGTCAACTAATTGTAGTTAATGGGCTGATATCTGAAATGTTTTTTTTTAAATATCCAAAGCAGTTAGCTATGGTTGGTCAGTTGCTTAGTAGTTGCAGCTTCAGTGGCTAGCGAGTAGTAACTCGCTAACATATTTAATTTAACAAATATATACACAATTTATAAAGTAAAAGGCTCGTTAGATTTCTAAGTTTCAATATAAATATATAATGTTATTTCCCATGTCACATGATGTTACATGACCGCCGCCAGGCCAGTGCCTTGAGGCCAGGTGCCTTGACATTGAGAAACACCCTTAGACCCACTCCCATGTATTTTAGAACAGATTTTTAAGGTTATATGTTTCAAAGCCACCAATATTTGTCAACAACTGGGCATCATTTCATTCAATTTCAACAACATTTTGAAGGATATTTCCAGAAATTAATGGAAAAACTACATATTATCTCTTTAATGTTTCTTTAATTCCTAATCTCAATATAATACATTCAAAAAGCAAAAATACCTGACTAAATTACCAGCATGATGCAAACTTTGCAGTGTCCTTGTAGCTGTGTATGAATGCGTGAAATGTGCTTCTGACTGGTCAGTTTTGCTTTAGAAAAAGCAGTTTTTAAATCTCAGCAAATATTAAACACTCAGAGAAAATGATGTAAATGAGTATTTTAATGGCAGGAACAGTAACACATAGGGTGACAACAAGCCTAAATGCGGTCTGCTGACATTTCAAAATCTTTTTGTGACAACAGAAATCAGAAGTTCTTAATATTGCTTCTTGTACCCAAACCCATTTGAACTTTATAAATAAACAATAACAGTTCTGGTGACAAGCAACACCACAGAACAAGACGATGTTGACACGGTTGATAGCAGCCACTGATCCTCTCAAATATCAACAGTAGCCCTTCAATAAGACCCAGACAAAAGTGTAACCTGAGGGAAAATAAAATAATCAGTGAAGCTTTTATTTGTTGCCAGTTCTGCAGAGAGGAAGCATGAAGCTTGAAATATTATATTGGTCTTGGTATTGTGACCTAAGCTCAAAGGCCTTCTGTCTGAGTATACACTTTGCCTGTGATATAAATCAAATTGACCATGGAGGAAGCAGGTGGAGGACCTGTAAAGAGATGGCTCCGTTCCTGCCATCTGAACCTGGCTAGAATATTGAATGTCCCATCAGCTGTGCAGCAGGCTGATTTAAGCAGAGATGAAGGAGCAGTGAAGGGTAGAGAGAACTGAGCAGAAAATGAGAGGAGCAAAGAGAGAGGAGTAAAAAAAAGGGATTTTTAGATCTCAGGCAGAGGTGTAATCAGACTGGGTCATGTTCTAATGACGAGACTTCTAAATTCAGACTGATGAGCAATTTTCCAATTGCAAACTGTGCTGTAGTTGACTGAAAGAGACTTCAAGTTTAAAAAATAAGCGTGAAGTGGGTCAAACATCTGGGTAATGGGGAATCTCCAATGTCTCATTACTCACATCTGGATAACACCCACATATGCAGACATGCATGAAAAGGCACAAGAGAAAAGAGTACAGAATTGGCTTATGTTTGCAATATAAGCAGTCAATCTAAGCTAGACCTATTCCATTCACATTTATATTTGCTACCAGCGACATGCTACATTAAGGATACGGTGAAATTAATTTAACGGTATATCGAGGATTTCACCTGGATAACGAAAAATGGACGAAGACTACATGTATGCTCAGAAACAATGGTTGTCTACTAGATGGGGCTGTCATGCGTATTACATTGACTCACGTTGTCACAAAACTCGAGCTTCTTAAAGGGACATGAACGTCACTAACCTACAAGTCTTTAGATGTTGTCTGTTTCTTAAATATTGGAATGTGGAATTGCAGGACTGCAGCCTGCCCAACCCCCCCCCCTCTCTCTCTCTCTCTCTCTCTCTCTCTCTCTCTCTCTCTCTCTCTCTCTCTCTCCTCTCTCTCTCTCTCTCTCTCTCTCTCTCTCTCTCTCTCTCTCTCTCTCTCTCTCTCTCTCTCTCTCTCTCTCTCTCTCTCTCTCTCTCTCTCTCTCTCTCTCTCTCTCTCTCTCTCTCTCTCTCTCTCTCTCTCTCTCTCTCTCTCTCTCTCTCTCTCTCTCTCTCTCTCTCTCTCTCTCTCTCTCTCTCTCTCTCTCTCTCTCTCTCTCTCTCTCTCTCTCTCTCTCTCTCTCTCTCTCTCTCTCTCTCTCTTTCTCCCTCCCTCCCTCCCTCCCTCCCTCCCTCCCTCCCTCCCTCTCTCAGCTGAAACAGAGTTCTGCCAAGAATTACAACACATGGTTTTAAGCAATAGGGGTGATATTAAGTTGTTGTATTTATAAAACAGCTACACTCTGCTTGTGGATTACCAGGCTAGCACAAAAGTATTTAGAAAGATGAAAACTCAAAGGTTAAAGGAAGAGTGAAATCCCAACTCCAGAGTTGCAGAAGTGGGAAATCATTATGCTGATGATTATTTTTGGGACATTAAACATTAAAATATTTATAAACATCTGCTACAGGTAGGATCTGCAAATTAATCTCCGAGAACAAAGTAAGGAACCTTGGTGTTATCTTTGACCAGGACATGTCATTCAAATGCCAAGTTAAACAGGTTTGTAGGATTTCCTTTTTCCACCTTCGGAATATTGCTATGATTAGAAGCATCCTTTCCAGGAGTGATGCTGAAAAACTAGTTCATGCATTTATTACATCAAGACTGGATTACTGTAATTCATTACTCTCAGGAAGTCCACAGAATGTAGTTAAAAGTCTTCAGCTTGTCCAAAATGCTGCAGCTAGAGTTCTGATGAGAATTAAAAAGAGAGATCATATCTCTCCTTTCTTAGCTTCCCTACATTGGCTACCTGTTAAATTCAGAATAGATTTTATGATCCTCCTTCTCACAAATAAAGCTCTTAATAATCAAGCTCCATCATACATCAGTGATCTGATTATTCCAAACGTTCCTAACCGAGCACTTCGCTCTCAGACTGCAGGTTTACTGGTGGTTCCCAGAATATCTAAAAATAGGATGGGAGGCAGATCTTTTAGTTATCAGGCTCCTCTCTTGTGGAACCAACTCCCAGCTTTAGTCCGTGAGGCAGACACCTTGTCTACTTTTAAGAATAGGCTTAAAACATTTATATTTGATAGGGCCTATGGTTAAAATCTGATGTTAGCCCAGATCTGGACAAGTGGGGGAGTAGAGGGAGGTGGAGTGCATCGACTCTTCCTTGCCCTGCCTCCAACATGCCTTCATCTAAAAGGCTAGGTTATCCAGAGTTATCTCTGTAGTTATGCTGCTATGCTTAGACTGCTGAAGGACATACTGACCACTTTCCACACTCGACTATTTTCTTCTACAATCTGCTCTTTAACTATATTATTTTCTGCAATTTCAGCTGCTAACTTTATTTTTTCTCTAAGTGTTTTTCTCCCCAGAAGAAGCTACAATGGTGTTCTGCTGAGCTGTGGTGGCCTCATGGAGGGGGTCATCGGCTTGAACACTGTTGCTAACCATTTAATCATTCTTCCTCTTCTGATAATAACATTTTACTGTTTTTGACATTGAATATGCTACTACTAGTTTACCCGTTTAATTATAGATTCACTAGGATAAATACAATATATTTATCTCTCAACAAATAGAATATTTACTAAGAAATCACAATGTAACCATAGAAATATTACTTGGTATATATGGTGTGTGTGTGTGTGTGTGTGTGTGTGTGTGTGTGTGTGTGTGTGTGTGCGCGCGCTGTCTTCTCTATCCCCAGTGAGTCATGGTGGATGGCTGCTTATACTGAGCCAGGATCCTCTGGACGTTTCTTCCTGTTAAGAGAGTTTTCCTCTCCACTGGCGCTAAATGCTTGCTTAGTATGAGGATTGCTGTAAAGTCACTGACACTAGTCAGTGGCTTGATGCAATTTGCTGGGTTCCTTATATAGGAAACTTTTTTCTGATTGGCTTAATGAACTGAACTGTATTGGAATGTTTATTATGTGAAGTGCCTTGAGACGACTCTTGTCGTGATTTGGCGCTATATAAATAAACTTGAATTGAATCTAACTACTGTCCTGTTTGTGTCTGCTCAGCAGCCATATTTGTCATACTTAAGTATACAGACACAAAAATCCCACAAAGCACATTTGAAAATGAATGTTGCTCCTTTATTTTATAGTTCAAATCCTAACATGCTAACCTTTGCAAGCAGCTCCATTTTCATCCTTGTTTTATGACAGTAGATTGGAAATTGAAGACTGCTGGTGCTGGAGTTTCCAAACCACTAATCTTACTAAGCTGAAGCTAATAAAATATGCCACTGACAGATGACAGCAGATTGCCAGCCATTAAATGGCCAAATCAGCTTCATAGCATCTTATCTTGTAGTGCAGTGGAGAGCACACACAGGCTTCCAGATGAAACCCATCTATTTTCATTCAAAACTGAGTATCCTGACTTTATATCCCAATTTATATGAATCCCAATCTGCAGTGTACTGCTCCTCACCGCCTCTGACTGTCTGCGTTTATGACATGGGCAAGTTAGACTTGTGACATGATGAGGAAAAAGTTGATCCAATGACCTTTTATATAATTTAACAGGAAATATGACAAAAAAAAAAAAAAAAGAATGCCAGAGTTACTCATATTGTTACAGATTAGGGATGCACTGATATGGATTTTTTGGGCCGATACAGATATTATCATCACTTTATTCGCTGATCGACATTTATGTTTCTGATATCCGCAAATTTTGAATAGACTGAAAATTATGCAAGCATAATTTTTGAATGTTTAGTTTTATTTCTACAAAGCGGAATTTGCTAAATATTACACACACACGCACGCACGCACACACACACACACACACACACACACACACACACACACACACACACACACACACACACACACACACACACACACACACACACACACACACACACACACACACACACACACACACACACACACACACACACACACACACATCTGAGATAAGAAAGAAAGAAAAAAATGAAAGAAAACAACGTCTTATATAGGGCATCTCAAGATAAAAATCATGAGGCGCTTCACAAAAAAATTCACGCATAAAAAATATCTAAAAAAATTATTATAAATATGTTTAAAATGAGAAAAAATATTGTGATAAAAGAATAATGTAAGGAAGGGGAGAGAGAAAATGATTAGGAAAGAGGGAAATCAGTGGAGTATAGGTAGAATAGGTAGAAAGAGCAAAATAAGGACGGAGGTGACGAAGGTCATTCAAAAAATGATGACATCATCACCTCCCTCACCCTCTGAAACAGATACACAAACAGAAACAAGATGGCCCAGTTTTACTTATCGGACATGTATGTTAAAAATGACTGACATCGGTCGATGCAGATATTGATGCAGATATATTGTGTATCCCTATTACAGGTGTTCAAACACGATTCACAAAAGAGACAATTGTGCAGAAGGATATATTAGAAAATTGATCAAAAATGCATAAATATGCTGCAACCTCTCACTCTGCAGTCTGTGGGTCAGTAATAGTAGAATAATATGTAAATGTTTAGCCTTGTGATCATTACACTTTCAGATCAGTACGAAGTTCAGATATCTCAAATAACCCTTTTGAGTAAAATGCAAAGTAACCTTTCTTTTCAAAGGCAGCACCAGTACTGACCTAATACAGCAAACTAGAGAGTAGACAGACATAATAAACTCTCAGTTAACCTAAAAACTAGATGACAAAAGCTATTAGTGAAGAAAAATCACCACGCTCCTCCATTCTAATAGCTTCAGTTGTAGGGTAATACGTATATATCGGTGGTTTATTGTGCAGGAAGGAAAGTAAAAGCTTTGAAAAACCACTTTTTCAGGATGAGATTTAGCTCGAAGCCATGCTACAAGGATATTTTTAACTCACTTGAACTCAGCTGTGATGAGATTGAAGCCGTTGTATAGGTGGCCTTCTGTGGACACCTTCTTCAGGTAAGAGTAACTGTCTACATCTTGATCCATAAGGTAGTTAGACACCAGAAATCCTGCAGATCAGCAGAGATCAACACACTAACAAAAATGACCAAACCAGCAAGCAGGGACTCTTTCTATGAGCGTACTTCATGGTGGTGGTGTCTTACCTCTCCCTTGTGCTTCGGGGTTGGGAGCTCCTTCCATGTAGTTGGTAATGGCAGCCAGCTTGCCCCTCTTGCTGATCCCCAACCAGGATCCACCTTCCTTCCCAATCTCCAAGTCCAGACCTAAAAGGCATTTTCTAATGGTATTACTATCTACTTTCAAAGGAGTTACTGATAATCTTCAGGAGTGTGTCTGTTTGACGGGTAGAACAAACCTGACAGAGAATTTTCTTTTGTGACAACAAACTGATGCCCACGGGTTCAAAAGAACATTTTTTTTATTCTAATGTAAACCTTAAATACTAGTGATTGTCCTTGTAAACAGAGATTTGGGATTTCTGATCAACCAAGATTTGAATCAGAGAGGGTAAACATAGCTAATGACAGAAATGATAAGCATGTCTACAGCTCTTCCTGATAACCAATGAAGACAGCTCTTCTTCTGGATGATCTTATTCCTTTGGGATTGAATGGAAAGCTACACTGATCCCACTGGGAGCTACTGCTTACTTCCCTTCTCTTCATGCTACGTCTGTCTCCTTAAGGGCCTTGCTGCTACTCTCCACCCCCCATGCCTGGCTCCCCATTCACATCAGCCGTACAGATAAGGAAAGGCCATTTATTCCTGTCACATCGCATAAAAACAGCCATCAATTATGTACCTCCTCGTAGAGTCCTGACCCCTCTATTACTGAGGCGAGAGGAGACTGATGAACAACCAGGCTATGCCTCTGTTTCCTTCTACAGCAGAAAACAAAAACAAGAAAAATGTACTGTACTGGGCACCTGCCAATTAAATATGGTTTAGTTTATTGTGGGTGGGGGTGCTCTGTGACAGATTAGATGAGAATTGCACTCTGGGGTGAAAGACACAGACCTTTCCTAGATTAAAGAACATTGATTGAAATGGAAGTCAAAAGCTGCTAAAAGCTCCAATGCCTTAATCAGGATTGCCAGGTTTGAACCTAAAGATGAATTTGTACAACACATGTGGCAAAAGCCTTAGAGGAGATGAGAGTTAGTAGGAGGGGACTGGAACAGTAGAACCAACTCACCACTGAGGATCTCATTGTTGGTCCCCCAGAAATCTGCAGCCTTGGAGGGTCTGTTGTATAACTCATCTCTATTTGCAGCCAAAATTAGCCTGACAGACAGGGAAAAACCAATGATTTTGTTATATTTCATCATGTGGAGATCTCGTGGATCCCTTTTCATTTAAACATAAAAATCTACAGCTGAGCTAAAGTGAACTCTTCATTATAAAATTTAAACACAAACAAATACGACCTGCTATCAATTATTGCCATATGTGCACACTGTGTATTTCCAGGTTTTACACCATTGTTTAAAGATGCAAAAAGTAAGAATGACCACCAGTGGTCAAATTTGGGTTCTGCAGTCCATGTAATCAAAACAAACAAGTCTGCTCTCAGAAACTGTTACCAATTACGGCTCAGCGCCAGGAGATTCTAGATGACGAGCGGCGATAAGTAGATAAATACGTTTCACTGTAATACTGAGGTGTTGGTAATTGAAAAAGTAGCTCGAGATACTTTAAGAGCAGACTATTTGTTTCTAATTCACTGTTAGCTCAACGTAGATCTCTAGCCTTCGTTACTTTATATTAGAGTTAAAAAAAGTTTCACTTTCTTTTCCGTCTTTCTTTTGCTTCTGGGCTGCTCCTTTTTACTGGCTTCTCTTGGTGATGCTCTTTGCTGGTGCAGACTTATGATTGGCCCTGGAACCAGGAACACTATTGTTTTATTATTTTACTGTAAAATTCCTACTTAATGCATCTTTAACCAGTCAACTAAATGTTTTTAACTGAACATGGTTTATAAAAGGTCGAGGTGTACATTTACTTTGGATCACAGCTGCCATATCCCATCACAAGCCAATAGGGAGTCTAAGTCACGCCCACCTACTTCCAGACCATGGATCCTCAGAAGAACAAAAAAATGAATGCAAGTCAATGTGGCTAAAAATGCTATTTTCTAATTCTGCTTGTTTTGTGCCATAGATTTCATATATGATGTCCGTGAATTTTAAAGACACATTTTGATACCAAGAACGTGCTTATTTTCGAACAGGGGAAACGCTATTTTAGGTTTTGTGTGAAAATAAGTCCAGGACTACAAATGCGCTTCACGAAAGTGATGTCATCGAACCAGACATGGAGGAATCTGAGGGAAAATGGCTGCAAGTTCAGCAAACTTCCCACGGGAGGAAAGAACCACCATAAATCTGGTCATCTGGTAAGTAGCAGCTACGTTAGGGGAGAGGAAATGATGTGGTGACGTGCCAGATTCTGGTGTGTAGTCATGCTAATTACGAACTTTTACAAGCTGATAAATCTCAAAGTACGTGACTGGCATGGTCGAAACACCCATCGTTACTTTTCATTTAAATTGCAGTACAACGTATGTGTGATCCAGGGCGTAAGGCAAAGCGGGATAGAAAATTGCGCTTTTAGCTCCGTTGACTTGCATTCGTTTTTTCGTTCTTCCGGTGACCCATGAGCCGACCAGAAAGAGAGGAGACTTGGACTCCCTATACAAGGAGGATGCGAGGATATTATTACCACAACGACAGGTTGTTGATTTTGTTGATATACCTTTTTTTTTCTTAAATCGAGAAAAGCTCAAAGTTTCCAATAACAAGCTGAAATTTGAAAGAAACAGCCATCTAAAATATCCATACGCCAAGGAAAAATATGGATGTGAATGTCACTCAGTAAATTACAGACAGCCTATGCTGCCAGAGGGGTGTCAATAGTAATGCAGAAACCAAATGTTGAAAAAGTTAAAGCAGTAGGAAAATAATATTTTACATGTAAATATCCTCAATTAGATTTCAATTTTTAAGCCGTCCACACTTGTCACATCTAATTAACCTCCAGAGGTGTTTTTCTTTGTCCTAGAGCAATAACACATATTTATTGCTAAACCTTGAGAGAACAGCCTGAACAAGAGTGTGGTCTAGTTTACAATGAATCCCCTTGAATGGAACATGAGCATTCTGCCTCTCAGTGAAGCACTTCACTACACGTTGTCCTGCTTTATCATTCAGAGTTAAGACAGTGAGTAATCACTCGATTATGTTCATGGCCATTACTGACGAGACTGTGTTGTGACCTGGATGTAATGCAATGGCACCCATTAGATTCCACACAACTTTACTAGCAGGTCACTACAAGTCGTGTAGAGACCTTAACACATTTTAGTGAGTGTATCCATTATAACAAAGCACACATGAATGTCATTTGGCTAATCTGGCATATTCACTTCCCTTCTTGGAGGGAACAAACATTTATTATACAGCAAACGGGGGGCTGCAGCCATGGTTCTCCACCAAAAAAGGGTGGACTGCCAACTATGGGTTGAGGCAGAGGTCCTACCTCAAGTGAAGGAGTCAAACTATCTCTTGGTATTGTTCACAAGTGAGGGAAGGAGGGTGCAAGAGATCAACAGGTGGATTGGGGCAGCATCTGCAGTAACGAGGACACTAAACCGGTCTGTTGTGGTAAAGAGGGAGGTAAGCCAGAAAACAAAGCTCTCAATTTACTGGTCAATCTTTAGGACAGTCCTCAGGTATGGCCATGAGCTTTGAGTAAAGACAAAAGAAACATGATAATCAATACAAGCAGTTAAAATTGGTCTTCTCAGGATGACCGGGCTCAGCTTCAGAGATAGGTGAAGCGCTAGGACATTGGAGAGATATTCAGAGTAGAGCCGCTGCTCCTCCACGTCCAGGGAAGCCAGCTGAGGTGGTTCAGGCATTCAGTCAGGATGCCAACTGGATGCCTGGACGAGGAGTTTTGGGCATGTCCTGCTGGCAGGAGTCCCTCAGGTCCACCAATGACACGCTGAAAAGAGTATGTCTCCACACTGGAAGGGAATGCTTTGGTATCCCACTGGTGGAGGTGACATTTTCAGCCTCTCTGTTGGGGCTGCTACACCTGCTACCCAGACCCAGATAAGCAAAGGAAAATGGATAGATGGATCATTTGTAAACAAAATGAGCAATTTAGTCATCAAATTCTATATTTGGTTTCATCTAGATTTACTATAATAAAACAAACACTTATAAAATTTGAGCAACATAATGTACAACTCTGTAAAACAAAGACCTTTTATGTATTTACACCAGCAGCTTTATGCTCTTTCTGAGACTGACTGGGGTCACCCTATTAACTTTTCTATTCGTGAGCCTTTTAAGATGCAAACAAAGAAACCAAACTGTACTAATAAGGCTCAATTTTGGAGTATCAAAGGCTAACGACAGCCCCTTCGCATGGCACCGTGTGAGCTGCCACTGTTCCTGGAAACAAAGCCAACACTAATGAAGCTACGCGGCGTAGAGCATCTGCTATCAGATCCTAAGGGGCAGATTCCGTGCACACATCTCGATTCGCAGCGACAATCAGCCAGCTGTATCATGTGGGAGGCATGGCAAGCAGCAGAAGAGGATCAAAGCTTGTAACCAGCATTCAGGGAAACATATAGATGTTGATGCTGCTACGTATGTGAACTTCAGTAAAAAAAAAAAAAAAAAGTTTTGTGTGTGTTTGATGATTTGCTGAACTACTTGAGGAGTGATCTGTTTTTGGTGATGACATGTGGAAACATGTGTGATTCTTTTATTAGATTTTGGCAGACAGACGGGAGAAAGTAGAGTTCATCCTCTGGGAATGATAAATGTCCGATAAATGTCGTAGAAAATAAATGACCACTGATGATAATTACACTGCGAACTGAATCAATTTATTTCTAAACATGTAGTGTTTAGCCTGACCGGCTAATCTACTGACCTCAGTTAAACAACATGACACGGTGTTACTGTTTTTATCAAGAATTCAGCAAAGGTGCAAAACTAGTGTGTGAAAAAACACTTCATCTTTCAGCATCTTTAGCAAGAAGAAATTTTAGTGTTCAGGTTCTGGGGCAGCAGAAAGAAGATGAAAACATCAGCCTTCCCCTACCGTGCTTGATTGTTCCTGAAGCCCTGTTGAGACTCAACTCAGTAAAGCTAAAACTGAGCTGCCATCTTCATTCTTGGAAAGGAACAGGGGCCTTTGGCAATCCTTCTATATTAAAGAAACCTTTTTTATATTACACAGTCACGAACTTTATCAAAAACCTAATGACAAAGAGTTTTAACAAAGAAGTAAGGAATGGTTTGACAGATTGACAGCAGTCTTGGAGGGCAGCAACTTGTGAATAATTTTTCAGATGGACTCCAAATGAACTTGAATTGGCTTTATTAAGCCTAATAGGTAACTAAACAAAGATCACAGCTGGTGCTGTTCCTTTATGGCAATGGAGTATTCTTATTATTTAACCTTCTCTCAACCAGGAGGATACCACCATTCTCCTTTTCAATGGAGACCTGGCCAAGAACAGCAGCAGCAAGCATCAAATTCATGATTACGGTACAAAGATATTATGCAGTCGGCCTCAAGGACTTTTAGTTTTGACCTAAAAGTACTCAGTGAAATTTTTTCTGAGACGAGAGGAGAACTTCAGAGGCAGGGTTTGGAGTCCTGTTTTCTGATATTTGAACACCTTGCCTCGGATTAGATAACAGCAGCGTGACTACCACTGACTGTTTGCTTTGCAACACTGATGTTTTATCGCCAAAAATAACACCAGCCTGAAGGAGTTCTGCTGTGTTATGGAGACGCTAATGCTAACGGTTAGCTTCTACTAGCCAGGATGTTCTCTGCTGTTTCCTGGACGCTAAACCAACAACAGCCTTCCCCGTCATGAGTCAAGATGGGTGAGTCCATGAATGTTAAGTGACAGAGTGACGTAGATCTGTCAAGACTTTTCTAATCCTTACGATTCCCTGTCAATTTTCTATCAGAAGCTAAAGCAGGAGATTGGTGTAGGAGACTATTTTCATGTTCAGCAAAGCATGAAAAACTCAGTGATCATTTATAATCAGAAATAATTTTTTAAAATGTTTTTTCAGTGTACCACACCTTTGTGAACTGTTAATTGAGAATATTAAATCATGAGAACTTGACTGTAACTTACACGCTAAATACATTTTTTACGTGTACAAAGTAGGTGGCAAATAAAACCCAAAGGCCGGAAACAGGTGGTTGTATGATGGAGACCAAATAATTATTTTATTAAACAAGTAATGAGAGGAAGTAAAATGTCCTGTATTGTTCATCCGAGGTAGCATTGACCTAATTTGCCTCATGGCTGAGGTTTTGTTATGAGCAGTTGAAAAGGTGTTATAAAATAAAAGCTTGAAACTGGACTTTAAATCAGAGAAGAATCAGCACGATGGTAATCAGTGTGTCATTTTGCACTTTGAGTGCTTTATAAATGCATTTCATACAATCCTAAAGCGGCTTTGCATTGACAAGAAAAATAATTCTACAAAAAAAAAAAATCACCATTGTCCAGGATCAAGGTAAATGCATTAGGACACAGGACACTTCACCTTACCCCAGGTGGGAGTCAGGACTCGTAACACAGCTCTGCTGTGCTTTCCTAAGGCAGGGACAGAGTCACAGGAGGAAGGACAAAGATACGGCTAGCCAGATAGCTGGCTTTCGACCTCAGGGGGATTATAGGCTGGGTCTCCACATCGCACCATAACCCACACTGACTACTTGTAGTACACTAATCTGTGCTGCCAGCTGGAAGAAGTAACCTTTCACACTCACAGCTAGATAGGGCTCACACACAGCCTGCAGAGGGATTGTATGCCTTAAGAAAATGGCTCTTACGTTTCATGCTCACTTCTGGAAAGTTATAAAATTTTAAATATAAAACAAACAAAGGCAACTGGTGCTACAATGTTCTGGAAACTTGTTTCTGATTGGATCAGGCATTTGACAATACTTTAGTCAAATAGGTCCTTAGACTTTTTTATGTAAATCAAAAGCAAATCAACATCTAAGCTGAACTTTTGTATAAAATGAATTTAGAAAGTATTGCTGCAAATAAAAATCCTGTATGTATGGTTTAAATTTTATTAGATCATCAATGCATTAAAATATAATTCACCAATCTGACAGATGCAGCTTCTCATAAGAAATAAGGATGAGAGATCAGTAGCCTGGCCTGCCAGACTCGTCCTCTCTGTTTAATTCTGCACAGAGAAAGAGTCTGGTAACTGACAGGCAGAGAGGCACTTGAGGGGTGGGAAGAGGCAGCTCAAAAATAACCATTCAGAAAAAAGATGGAAATGCCGACGAGCTGTAGTCAAAAATGGCATCTGGTGACAGCGCAAACATTTTCCTTTAGCAGAAAGGCTTTTAGCGCTTCTACTTGTGGTTTTAAAGATGTGTCCGAGTCATTTAGAACAAAGGAAAGAGCCGCAGCGAACTCTGCTTCAGTCACCATGTTTATGACAAACTTGGCGTTATGGTGTGTGACGTACGCTACTCAGCGCTGATTGGCTCGGTTAGAGTTCTCACTGGGTGGGGTTATTTGAATAGTAGAGTTCCCAGACCCTTTCTCTGTGCAGATTTTAACAGAGGAGGAGTCTGGCAGACCGGGCTAAGAGAATAGTGGACTTTAGTACAAATCAGGGAAAGCAAAATTAACTAGAAACAGGCTCCGAGTGTGTCTTGTTAGTAGCTTTTGTTATATAAATCATTTAAAAGAATCTGTCTGGTAGCTATTCTAGCAAATAAAACAAACAAACCAACCAACCAAATTAGATGTATCCCAAAAAGTCCTGCTCTTATTTTCAGCTATACTACGTCAACCTGGTCTTTGGAGGCTATGCAGGCTCTCAGTCTGGGAGTTTCCATTTGTCCTGTTTCACAATGCCCTCATCTCATCTCTTAGTCACACTCATGCACCAGCGTTGCAACCATTATGTCAGAGTGGGATGTGCCCCCCCCCCCTACTTTTACTGATATTATTCCACCTTTCTGTGGCATTGCAGAGCTGAGTGCTGGAGTCCTAACCCAAGATCGAACCCAAACCGAGTGAGCCTGATGAGTTGAGTCGAATTTGGGCCGATGAACGTTGACAACTGAGCGGGTTGAGTCGCGCTTGGACAGCTGTGGACGTGTTATTTTTCCTTCTTGGTATTTTAAGAAGTGCTTAAAACACTCTGGTTCAGTTGGGCTCTGACTGAGTGTTGTGATGTTGGGAAAGCCGGTTTAGGGGAGGGGGGGGGGGTCTCGGTGACAGCAGGTGTCAGGATATAATCATCCATCTCCTTTATTTTATTTAGTCTCATATTTAAGGACACTGAGGAGTTTACAAGAGACATTGAGCTACTCTGATCAAGAGAAAAAGAAATAAAAAAAAAACACTGTTGATGTTCCACACTGTAAAAGTTCCTGTTAAACTTATTGTTTTGTTTCATGACAATAAATTGATGTTAAATTCAACTTAAAGACAAATTAGGAGGAAGCTTTGGTTCACTTTAAGTTCCAGTAGATGTTTTTATTTTTCCATATCTGCTCCTCCCCAGAGACACAGAAGGACATAAGGATATAACAAAAGACAAAATGTCTCCACATGACAGGTTATTGGAAGGGTCTAGTTAGCTGGTTAGTGAAGGAGATCCATCAGCTAGGTAGGCATCAACCCACAGCCTCCTGCTGTGATTTTATTAAGGAGCAAGAATGAAATAAACATCCCGATTCTTACTGGAAGTTTGGGATTTTTTTTAATGTTTGAGTATTTTCCACATTAAACAGAACTCAGCTCATGCTCCAACATTTCTGTAACGAGACCATTTGGTTCAAACTAGGCCAAACATGTAATTTCCTGTCATTTATTTACTAATGTTATTTCATTGATAATTGTTTTAGTTTTTAAAGCTCACTTCTGTTCATTTTAAAACAATCATATAGGCCTAATTATAATTTAATAACCTGATAAAATGCACTACAATGCAGAAAATGACACCTACTCTGCTGATTTTTTAAGGGAGGAGGACACACCCCTTCTGATGCCTTTGCTAGTACCAACACCTTTCTTATAGTTTAAACCAGAAGTAGCAGCTTCACCTAAATATTTGTCACTCATCTTCCTTGGCTGCTTTTTTTTCCATTTCAAAAACTTTATGCTCGATAGCTTTTTAAAAAGTGATTATTTAATCAGAGCTCTTACGTCCATCTCTTCTAAAATGTCAAACTGACTGAAAGAGAAACAAAAATAAGGCTGGGACACATGTCTGGAAGTAGATGGGCGTGGCTTGGGCTCCCTATTGACCCTTTGCACGTGACGCCACACCACTCATGTGACCACAAAAAACAAAGGCTTATTTGCCTTTGCAGATTTTTCTCACATCAGAAATACATCTTTAATATTTTTTTCCAATTTCTCCTTAAAATATTTTTTATGGATGGCTGTGCTTAATTACCATTCATAGTTCTGTTCCATAATCTGTTTCCTTGATTCAGCATCTTTTTCAACATTTGTCCCCCATCTAAGGTCTAATATTTCAATAAAGTGGTATAGCTGCCTTACCTGTAAGCATTTTTGGATGCAGGCCGAGGGTCAAACTTAAAGAAGATAATACACATTGATGTACTGGGAAATGATGACAGGGGAATCACTTGGTCCACATTCACCTTTAAATCATATCTATGGCAAAAAAGAAAAATGAATTTACCATCATAAATTGTGATGCTAAATTTTGTCCAAAGAGGAAAAACATTTGGATGCAGAAAGCTGAATATACATGGCCCACCATCTTGTTTCTTTTCAGCCTGTTACTGTATGTAGTACGTGGACTCTACTCTTTGTACCCAATATTAACCAGATCATTAACAATACTGTGTTTTGTAATTATACAATGTTGAACAGATCAGATGTCGGGTTTTTGCGCTGAGAACATGACCAACAGGTTTAATCCAGAGTTTATTATATTGAAGCCTTTAATAACGGAATGTGTAACAATAAAATGATCGTTATTCAGCCAACATTTGCAACAAATTCATGATGTGCTGAACAGGGCATTAGCACTCGTTTCGAACGATGGTAAACGGTTGTAGCCTCTTAAGATGTCATGTGTCCAAGTCGAACTAATTTGAGCTGCTCCCCGTCACCTTGAGCTGTCTATTATTTGTAACTGAGTCCATAGTTGTAAAAACTAATTTTGGTTAAAAATTAAACATAATTTAAGTAAAAACTTAACCTATGAATGAAATAGCTAACGTTAGCATACTTACAAGCGATAGATACAACGAAGTTTAGCTTCTTACCAGAACTTAGCGACAAAATTATATACACAAATGATCTTTTCAGCTACTTTATTGATATTGTTTGAATATTACTTACTGAAACGCACTCTTAGTTGTTCTTACCCTACGCCCCTTTACTCCCGTTGTTGACAAACCAAAAGGAAGTGTTTACATTCGGTTTCCTCGATTTGGTATTAATCGTTTCTCTGCTTCACGACACAGTGACTTTTCATTGGAAATTCGCCTTATGTCCGCCCACGTCGGGACATTAAATAACAGAAACGAGCGCACATCCAAAGGGGCTCAGAGTTTAGACGTGATTGGCTGGAAAAGCACGGAAGTCCCGAGTAGTTGTAAAAAGAAAAGAAACCACTTCCGGTTATTCTACTAAAAAATAAAAGCTCACTGTTAATGTTTGGAGAAAAAATGTGTTGCAGTCATTGAAATAAATATTAGGGGAAAAAATTAAAATACCACACACACACACACACACACACACACACACACACACACACACACACACACACACACACACACACACACACACACACACACAGATATACACACACACAAACACACACACATATATAAAATTGCCTAGTGTTTTTTAAAGTGCACAGAATCGATAATGAATTTTAGCTCTAATGTATGTGATATCCTCTTAGACCTAAAATTCGTTATTGATTCTGTGCACTTTTAAAAACATTAGGCAATTTAATAAACACTTGTATTTTGTTCACAATTTTAGAGGAAGTAAGCTGTTTTAGTAAGAAGTAAACAAATCTAATGTAAATTAGACCATTCTTAAATAAATTCAGTTGGATTGGATAAGGGGCGGAGACACGCCCGGGACCGACAGCATCCAGCACTTTTGTTGATGAGAGAGGGGATAAAGGCGGCTCTGCTTTTCATTCAACTCAACGCTCAATTTAAACGACACACGCTTTAAATATAACTTTGAAACCGGTGAAGTTTGCTCACTTGTCGCACGTGGTGCTCGGTCTGAGAGCAAGGCGAATCTGACGTATGTGTTTGGATATTTGGCGCTCGTAAAGTAGACTGTCCCTGCAGCAGCCACGTTCCACGCGAAATAACGGTCTTTATCTGAGGCTCGGAGTGGCGCTCATCACGGGACGGACGCGCTTCCACTGAGAAGACAGCGATGACCAGAAGAGCCGGAGGTAGCTGTTACACACACACACACACACACACACACACACACACACACACACACACACACACACACACACACACACACACACACACACACACACACACACACACACACACACACACACACACACACAGAGCATTCCTCGTCTAGGCTAATTCTTCTTTTGGGCGATTAGAATATCAAGTTGTGCCATATTGCACATCAGTAGGAGGTGGGTGTGACTAAAACAAAATCAGTGCGATCTTAAAATAACGCTATGGAAAATCCCAAATGAAATACAGGCTTCCTTAACAAGGAATTGATGAAAATCAGAAAGCACATCCATGATTTATTTGCTACGTTTTAATTAAAAAGAAGCGCCACGGGAGATTCAAATGTTTCATTGCAGCCAACAACGAAATAGAATGCGTTTTTAGTATTTACCGCTCCATCACATCTTTTGCTGTGAGATGTGATGGAGCGGACTGCCAATCATATCAGGCTGCCATTGTTTTGGTCCTCCACTTAGTGAATGAGTTACCATGGAGATTTTTCCGGTTTCCCTCCTGTAATTACCTTATTTGGAAAATGGCCTGCATTCATTTGACTTGATCGATAGAGTTGTTTTTCCCAATAGTCTTGTGGTATTCTCGTCCCATGTGCATGTGAGTTTGCCCCAAAGCTTTAAAACAGCCATATTTGAACAATCTCAGATGAAACTATTGGTCATCTTTTTGCACCCTGCTTGAATGCAATTACAACAATTAACAGTGAACATAACAATTTTGCATTCACTTAGCCTTGTATATATATATATATATATATATATATATATATATATATATATATATATATATATATATATATATATATCACACATAAAGCCATTCAGAAGTCTCTTAAGAGCTTTTTTTACTTGTTTTCATGTATGACAATCAGTCCACATGTCATGACAGTAAAGAAGCCAGTTCCAGTCAATATTTCTGCAATCATGTATTCTAATATGTAGAAAAATAACAGTAATTAGCATTTTAAATGTATACTGAGTACCAGTTTCATATTTTAAAATTCTTTTCTTGAGCCAGGATGTCTTAAAATGACCCTTTACAGGGTTAACAAAAGGCCACCCAGCCCCTATTGCCCTGTGGCCACAATACTTCACTTGCAACTTCAGACTGGGGGGAACTCTGTAGAGCTGACACACCTGGTGCAATAATAATATTATTAATAATAATAAAAATAATAATAGACAATAATTTGAAATAGTGAAAGGTATAGATATACCCTATACACCTCATATCTGTTCTAAGAATAGCCTTTTTTAAATGAATTTTTGTCTTAGAAGAAGAAGAAGAAGAAGAAGAAGAAAATATCATTTCTATAGCGCCTCTCAAGATAAAAATCATGAGGTGCTTCACAAAAACAAAAAATGTAAAAACATAAAAAAGCATTTAGAAAATGTTTAAAAATATATTTAAAATTAGCAAAAATAGACGATTGGGATTTAAAAGAAAAAATGTTAAGAAAGAGAGAGAGTGAATAGGAGCTCAGGATGTGCTGAAGAGGAAGCAGATAGAGGAGGAAGAGCAGAAGCCCCAGCACAGAACCTTGTGGGACACCATGGGTAAGAGAGGTGGTGGAGGACCTAAACTTGGAGACGGCCACAGAAAAGGAGCGCTCAGAGAGATAAGAGGAGAACCACTCCAGAGCAGATCCTGATAGGCCTACCCAGTCTCTCAGCCTCTCCAGTAGCAGGTGATGGTCAACAGTGTCAAAGGCTGCAGTCAGGTCCAACAGGACCAGAACAGAACAGTCCCCTGCATCACTGTGAGTCAGAAGGTCATTAGAGACCCTAAGAAGAGCTGTTTCAGTAGAATGAGCACTAGAAAAACCTGACTGTAAGCTATCATAGATGTTATGTTGATCTAGAGCAGCTGTGAGTTGTTTAGCCACAACCTTTTCCAAGATCTTGGAGATGAACGGAAGTTTAGAGACGGGTCTGAAGCTGCTATGGAGAGAGGGGTCGAAACTCGTTTTTTTAAGAAGCGGGTGGATTACAGCATTTTTAAAGTAAGCAGGGACCTGACCAGAAACCAGAGAAGCATTAATTATAGAGAGCACGCTGGGACCGATGGACTGAAAAGCACTTTTAAACAAAGATGAGGGTAAGACTTCCAGTATATAATATGATATTTCCGTTCAAAAGAACATGACAACTATATTATTGTAATCCGTTTAGACGTTCTGCTGTTAATCATCATTAGAGAATAAGCAACATGCAAAGCTGCAGAACTGGGATGCAGCCCTTGCAAAACACCTTGTGCTTTCTCTGCTGAAAGCATTTTTCCATTTATCTTTCATAATAAACGTTAAGCATTACTTTTTCAGCACACTCGTCGTCGTCTTCCTCCGCTTATCCGGGTCCGGGTCGTGGGGGCAGCATCCCAACTAGGGAGCTCCAGACCGTCCTCTCCCCGGCCTTCTCCACCAGCTCCTCCGGCAGGACCCCAAGGCGTTCTCGGACCAGAGTGGAGATGTAACCTCTCCAATACTGGGTCGACCCGGGGGCCTCCAGGCGGCAGGACATGCCCAAAACACCTCCCCGGGGAGGCGTCCAGGAGGCATCCTGACCAGATGCCCAAACCACCTCAACTGACTCCTTTAGATCCGGAGGAGCAGCGGTTCTACTCCGAGTCCCTTCCAAATGTCCAAGCTCCTCACCCTATTTCTAAGGCTGAGCCCGGCCACCCTACGGAGGAAAGTCATTTCGGCCGCTTATATCCGCAATCTCGTTCTTTCGGTCATTACCCAAAGCTCATGACCATAGGTGAGGATTGGGATGTAGATCGACCGGTATATCAAGAGCCTGGCTTTCTGGCTCAGCTCCCTCTTCACCATGACAGATCAGCTCAGCGTCCGCATCACTGCAGATGCTGAACCAATCCGCCTGTCAATCTCCCGATCCCTCCTACCCTCACTCGTGAACAAGACCCCGAGATACTTAAACTCCTCCACTTGAGGTAGGACCTCTCCCCCGACCCGGAGTTGGCAAGCCACCCTTTTCCGGTCGAGAACCATGGTCTCAGATTTGGAGGTGCTGATCCTCATCCCAGCCGCTTCACACTCGGCCGTGAACCTACCCAGCAAGAGCTGAAGGTCAGAGCTGGATGAAGCTAGGAGGACCACATCATCTGCAAAAAGCAGAGACAAAATTCTCCTGCCACCAAACTCCACACACTCCACACCACGGCTGTGCCTAGAAATTCTGTCCATAAAGGTAATGAACAGAACCGGTGACAAAGGGCAGCCCTGGCGAAGTCCAACCCTCACTGGGAACAGGTCCGACTTACTACCGGCTATGCAGACCAAACTCACGCTACTCTGGAAAAGGGACTGAATGGCCCTTAACAGAAAGCCACCCACCCCATACTCCTGGAGCATCCCCCACAGGGAGCCCCTGGGGACACGGTCATAAGCCTTCTCCAAATCCACAAAACACATGTAGATTGGTTTGGCAAACTCCCATGCCCCCTCCATCACCCTTGCAAGGGTATAGAGCTGGTCCACAGTTCCACGGCCATGACGAAAACCACATTGCTCCTCCTCAATCTGAGATTCAACTATCGATCGGACCCTCCTCTCCAGTACCTTGGAGTAGACCTTTCCAGGGAGGCTGAGGAGTGTGATCCCCCTATAGTGGAACACACCCTCAGGTCACCCTTCTTAAATATGGGGACCACCACCCCGGTCTGCCACTCCACAGGAACTGCCCCCGACGACCACGCAAGGTTGCAGAGACGTGTCAACCATGACAGCCCTACAACATCCATAGCCTTGAGATACCCAGGATGAACCTCATCCGCCCCCGGGGCTCCGCCGCTGTGTAGTTGTTTGACTACCTCAGCAACTTCTGCCCCCGAGATTGGACAGTCCATCCCCAGGTCTCCCGACTATGGTTCCTCCTCATAATGCGCATAGGTGGGATTGAGGAGCTCCTCAAAGTATTCCTTCCACCGTCCGACTATAGCCTCATTTGACATCAGCAGCTCCCAATCCCCACTGTAAACAGTGTGAGCGAGTTGCTGCCTTCCTCTCCTGAGGCGCCGGACAGTTTGCCAGAACCTCTTTGGAGCCGATCGATAGTCTTTCTCCATGGCCTCACAAAACTCCTCCCACTTCCGAGATTTTGCCTCAGCAACTGCCACTGCTGCACCCCGCTTGGCTATCCGGTACCTGTCTGCTGCCTCCGGAGACCCACAGACCAGCCACGCCCTGTAGGCCTCCTTCTTCAGTCTGACGGCTCCCCGAACCTCTGGTGTCCACTAACGGGTATGGGGGTTGCCACCACGACTGGCACCACCTCGCGACCGCAGCTTGCAACAGCCGCCTCAACAATTGCAGAGTGGAACAAGGCCCACTCGGAGTCAATGTCCCCCACTGCTCTCGGGACGCGGTCAAAGCTCTGCCGGAGGTGGGAGTTGAAGACCGTCTTAACAGGTTCTTCTGCCAGGCGTTCCCAGCAGACCCTCACTATGCGTTTGGGTCTGCCAGGTCTATGCGGCATCTTCCCCTGCCATCTGATCCAACTCACCACCAGGTGGCGATCAGTTGACAGCTCCACTCCTCTCTTCAATCGGGTGTCCAAAACATACGGCTGCAGGTCAGATGATACGACTACAAAGTCTATCATCGACCTGCGACCTAGGCTGCCCTGGTACCAAGTGTACCGATGGGCATCCTTATGTTCTAACATGGTGTTCGTTATGGCCAAACTGCGGCTTGCACAGAAGTCCAATAACGAAACACCACTCAAGTTCAGATCAGGCGGGCCGTTCCTTCCAATCACACCCCTCCAGGTCAAGCTGTCATTGCCCACGTGAGCATTGAAGTCCCCCAGCAGGACAATGGAGTCCCCTGATGGAGCACTATCTAGCACTCGTCCCAGGGACTCCAAAAAGGGTGGGCACCTCTGAACTGATATTTGGCCCATAAGCACAAACAACAGTCAGGACCCATTCCCCGACCCGA